TGGCGACTCAGGATCTCATTGGGGCAGGGAGGAAAGGGCCGGTTCCACCCCCATCCAGGGAGGCTCTGCGTGTCTCATCACTGCTGGCCCAAGCCTGACTGTCCAGTGGCCTCTGGAGGATGGCGGCCACCGAGTCACCAGGGGGAACACGCCAAGGCACGAGACCTACTCCCACCTGGGGTGGCCCAGCACCCGTAACCTACTGTAGGGACCAGACGCATTTCTGCCAAAAGCCACTGGGTTCCAAGATTTGTTTCTGAGTCTCTGAGATCATGGCCATTAAGTGGCTTGATCAGGAGCCAGAGAGGCTGTTTGTTGGTGGTCGGGGTCTTGTTGGGGTCGGCTGCATCTCCATCCCAAGAGGCTCCACGTGTCTCATCACTGCAGGCCCAAACCTGACTGTCCAATTATTGTAAAACTGATTAATAAAGGCATACCCTTCTTTATTGCTATAGAGTGAAACACAGAACCAAGGAAATTGAGCAACCCACTGAAACTGCAGTTGTGAGCACCCAAGGCCAAGTGTGGGCATATCCAGAGATCTGTCTGTGGACTTTGTTCTCCTGCAGGTACCTCATTGAGAGGCCTCCTTATCAGGGAAACTTGATTGACACTTTCCAGGCATCTCCTCAGAGACCTGTTGAATGAGGTTTGGGAGAGGCTGACCAAGGTACTACCCTCCACCCTGACTCACCCTTTGCCCAATCCTACTCCTTCAGGAAATAAAGCATCAGGAACCTCTAGTTCAACGCACCACAGTGGTTCAGTGGTGAGATTACTTTCTCCACCCTCCTGTTTGCCTGACCTTGCCCTGTGCCTCTTGCCAGGAAACTAGACAAGCAAAGAGGTTTTATTCTCCCCCCAACCCTTTTTGGTGCTTTGCTTATAAATTAACACTCAATCGTTATCTTCATTCAGGCAGTTTTCATTCACTGCCTCAACCCTTAGAACTTGGGGTAAATACTGGTAACACTCTGCACTGCATGCAACAGTCTCCCCAGATGAATAGTTCTTTAAAATCCTGCCAGCGCTTAGACTTTTGGTATAACCTGACTCATACCAGCTCACACCCAACAAATTCATGGAGATTAGTTCATTCAGGAGCGAACAGATGATCACGAAGGCAACCACTCTGACGGTTCAGATGAACTTTCCTATGAGAGAGAATTTTCCAGTTTTCCTTGTGTGAGGCTACAAACAATGGAGCAAAGGTTTGATTCCAACTAACAGTGGCTTGAGAACATGAAGAAAAATGGTATCCTTTGGGGGATAAAGATTATGGCACAGAAGATAGAGAACCAGGTTCTTAGTGGCAAATTACATAGAGAACAAATTCCAATCTGGAACCTACAAACATATGTAGTAGGAATTTCCTTATCATTTTATGCCTGTTTCAATAGGAAATTTCCTTACTTGAAGCAAAAAAAAGGTGTATACACGATTGCACAATAACTCCCCCAGTACAATTTCTATTTTCCTAAATCAAATGCCTGCGTTTGAAGGGGAATACTAATGAATTAAGGCACCATTAAGACTGACATCATAGAATGACTTGGACACACTTCCAGACAAGGTTTTCCTGTCACTTTGTTGTTGGAGGATTAGGCATTCAAGAAATCTCTTTTTGTATTCTAAAACATAAAACACCTTACAGGGAGGGAATTCAGTGAGAAACAGTTGCATAGTCAAATTACCACCTGTGAGTTATAACTATCATTTCATGCCCTTCTGAAGACACCTTGTTTGAAAAGTAATTCTTAGATTTTTGCAAATCAGGATGGGCCAGTCTACACAGCAATATAACTTGAGTTTTGTAACTAGAGTAAAAATCAATATATTTCAGATTATAATCAATTAATCTAAATAAATACCAATATTTTAGTCAATACTTTTAATTTAAATTAAAACTGTTATGACCTCATGTCTGTATGAAAGAAACAAGAGGGTAGGCAAGGAGAAATGACACCCAGCCCTTAAATTCGAACTTAAAAACTGAGAGGCCTGACTAGAGGGTTGGGGTGAGGATGTAACAGGCAAAGGGGTCCAGTGGATAATGGGGGAGGGATATTGGCATTAGGGTGATTAACACTTGCAGCACCTGGAGATTGCACCCCTAATGCAAGGTGCTGTAAATCGATGTTACTCTATTAAAAGTGCCTACTCTGAGAAAACAGCCTTACCAATGCAGTTTTGAAATAGAGGACAAATCCATCATTAAAGCAGTACTTGTGCCATTTATATAAAATAGAAAAATTGGGCTGAAGTGATAGTCCAGCAGGTAGGGCATTTGCCTTGGGTATGTGGCGCGCTGGGGTTGGATCCCCAGCATCCCATATGGTCTCTCGAGCACTGCCAGGAGTGATTTATGAGTGCAGAGCCAGGAATAACACGAGAATTCCAGGTGCAGCCAAAAATCAAACAAAAAATAAATAAATAAATATATATATAATTTTTAAATAAATCTACTGAGTCACCGTGAGAGCTTACAAAGCTTTCAGTTTAAGTCTCAGTCATACAATGATGAAATACCCATCCCTTCAACAGCGCACATTTCCCACCACCAAAAACCCCAAGACAACCCCGTTCCACCCCTTCCCCTACCTGTATGGCAGATGGTTTCCACATCATTCTCTACTTTGATTATATTCAATATTTCGACCAGATCCACCATTATTATTTGGGATTTTACCCCAACACTCACATCTGCTGAAAAGGCAACATTATAACAATTTGTTTCCTATTCCCGATAATGAATAGTATACAATGTCGTGTGGCTGTAGTATACTATTTGAAATCTTAATAATTAAATCTGGATGGATGTCTGCCAATGGCTGCTGAGTTGCGAGATTTATTTCTGAGTCTCTGGGATCATGGTTTAAGCCACTTGTTGAGTAGCCAGAGGGCAGCAACTCCAGGTTTTGTTGGGGCGGGGAGGAATAGAGAAATATTTTATTTAAAAATAAACCGCGCCACCATGCCTGCCCGGAGGGGAAAGGGTGTTGTCCCGCTCGCCAGATCCTCTCTGGAAAGAAAGATGGCGGCCGCACGGGAGCCTTGTGGACAGCAGGTCTGAGCTGCGGGTGGGGGGCGGCAGGGGCCTCATAGGAAGGGGGGCATTCTGGGCCGTCCTTCACGCCCGACCGAGGTCACCAGCTGCCCCCCACAAGCGGCTCTCCGGCACGGCCACGGCCCCAGAGGCACAAGGACTTAGCACAGAGAGCCACCCGCTTGGAGCAGAAAAGCAACGACTCCAGAGCACAGAAACCAATCTCTTAACTATCTAACTTTTAATAGAAATACTTCCAGGGTTAATAAGTAAAACAGCAGAAATCCAAAACCGTGCGGCTGCTATTGCGGCTGCACGACATCATTTTATTCTTAAACCAAGCTGTAGAAAGCAAATCATTTCACAACGCTGTTTCAGCATGTCTGATTGGGGGGGGGGGGGGGGGTCGTAAACTCTAAACAATAATTGTGCATCTTCTATCGAAACAATGAATCTAGTCAAAGTAGATAGAGTATTAACTAGAACTCATCTGCCTCACAGGAATTGGGAGGGGTGGGAGGTGGGGTTCTATTGGGGTTCACGGTTAAAAATAAGTATTGGTAAAGGGAAATGTGTTTGATACTTACATGACTGAGACCTAAACCCGAAAGCTCTGTAACTTTTCCCACAGTGATTCAATAAAGAAATAATTAAAAAAAAAAAAAAAGATAGTCTCCCTCTGGACCCCTAACCCACCACTCAGCTCTGCTGTGTCATCCTGGTGCACTGGGCTGTAAGCCCACAGTGCTGGCCTGAGTGTCTTCAGGAATGAGCACAACCACTAAGCACCATGTGGACACAAGCAGTTACAGCTCTGCAAGAGCCATGACTGGTTCCAGGAATGAATCAGGAAATGAATGGATTTTTGAAAATACCGTCTTTCAGCTTTGTATTTGGTGAAAAAGTTTTCATTAAAATTTTAGAAAGATGTGGAGGGATAGGGCCAAAGCAATAGTAGTGTGGATAAGGTGCTTGTCTTGCACGCGACTGACCTGGGTTTGATCCTGAGCACCCGATATGGTCCCCTGAGCACTGCCAGTATTGATTCCTGAGTGCAGAGCCAGGAACAACCCATGAGCATTGCCGCCATCTTGCCTCCTCCGCCCTCCCGTGAAAAAAAGAAAGATGTGAGGGGGACGAAAGGGAGAAGAACACGTTCAAGGAAAAAAAAGGCTTCCACCCCTGGTTGGCACCAGATAATCTCATCATGGGCAACCATCCAGACCACATGTCCTTCTCTCCCGGAAGGAAACAACATGACGCTCACCATAACCATGCTGCCAGACCCGTGCCAGGCTATTTCACTTAGGGCACCCCAGAGGAGGATGGGAGAGACCCCTCTCTGCCCCAAGGGATGCAGCCCTGGCAGCCAAAACCCTCCAGAACTCAACCACTGCCATGCCCAGAGCAGCTCTTTCCAAATACTTGGGTCGAGCCCCACTCATGAGTGAGCCCCACCCACAAGTGAACATTTTCTTAGACCTCAAGACACATCCTAGGACACACTCTACCTATGCTCCAAGAGTATCACACCACATATGATGGATTTCAAAGCATAGGCAACCAACCTTATAGGGAAATAATGTATTAATTCGGGCTTTGGGGCAGGGATTGGAGTTTGGGATGTTAACACCAGAAATATGGTGGTGGGAGGGTGTAATGAGGTTTTGAATATTAAATGTAAACAAATATTGTAAACTTTATAAAATAACAAAACTGTATTTTTAAAAAAACAAACAAAAACAACAACACAGGCTTCTCCAGAGTGGAGACAAGCAACCAAGGTAAGAGTCCAAGGGAGAACATGGGCTTGAAAAACAAGCTGATTTTTCAGCCTTTTGCTAACAGAATGAACTAAGAAAATTCTCACTTTTTAACAGAATGAACAACTATCTTTACTTTGGCAGCTAAAAGAGATAAAGAATAGAAATAAAAACATGTACCATTTAAGTCACTGATTCTGGAAATAAAATATTTTAATTCAGTTTCACAAAAAATACAAGTAGTTTCCTTAGTCCTACAATGAACCATTGACATTCTCACACACAGAAAGCTTAGGTACATTCAACTGCTGACAAAAAATATCTCCATATACACTTACATCCATGTGAAGCTTGTATAACTCTGCAACTATTTATTTGCGACTTTTACATCTAGTATCTATTAAAACTAACATGTAACATGTTTATCAAAGTTAGTTTAGATATGATTTGTTATTAGGAGAGGCTCCTGAAGAACTTTAATAATTATAGTCCTATGAGAATTAACTAATTTTTCTAAACATATGCTTTAAGCTAAATCTTTAGCAATTTAAATTTCTCACCGGCATTGCACAGAATTCTTAGGAGTTTGAACAGTTTGGTTTTCAGTTTAAGTCATTTCATGTGGTCCATAATTATTTGAGCATCAGGGGGGGAAAAGCACCAACAAAATAAATATCTTTCACATCACAGATGAAATCATAACATGAATCTCAGTTTTCTTTCAAAATCAATCTCTTGGAACATGCATTTATTTCAAATGCCAAACTTATAAGCCTTCTAAGTGAGATCAACTGATACAACTGAGTATATGTATGAATGGAAACAGCAAAAACAGATGCTAAACACAGTATCTACTAATTATAGAATTCAAATATTCTTCTCACATTGATAATTTCCTCTTGTGAACCGAGTTCCTCAGATCTAAAAACAACTCCGAAAAAAAGTGTGCAACACTTACAAACCTGTCAACTATAGCTCTTAAAAAAGAAACTCTGAAAGTATCTTTCTTACTAATAAATGAAGCAATTTTTTCCTGATGAACCAAAGCACCTTATAATAAGGAAATATATTTCAAAAAGTATTTTCTACAAATTAATATACAAATTTATGTGCATAAAGATACAGTAACCCACTTGTATAGGCAATATTTTAAATAACAAAATCAAAAATTTCAAAAGAGACATAAAAAAAATAAGCCATATGCTAATATTCCAGTTATTAAATATTGCAGCATATATATAACAACCAGGGAGACAAAGTTTATAATCTAAATGGTCAATGAGATATCTTTGGAAATAGATTTCAACAAAAGTTCTCAATACAAATCCTGGCCATCCAATTTTAACCTAACCTACAGATTTTTATACCCAAGATGAAATCCTGCAAAACTGGAAGTTTCCAAAGGCCACCTCACACATCCTTCAGTAAATAGCATTACTGGTGAGACACTAACATAAGCTAAGTGGCCTTATTATTTGTCTTTATTACAGGCACATGGTAAACGGGTTAAGAAAGACAGATCGTTAACACCACATATTTTGCTCTTCATAAAACGCTTATAGTAAACACTGTTTTACATATTTCCAGACTGTGAGTTAAAGTTCCTTTATCTAAAAAGAATTCTCTCGAGTTAACACACCTTTGATGAATACAGAGATGTACACAGGGAGAAACGAATTGCTTGCATTGATAGTTTGCAGTTAAGGTTTATTACATGTCTTTTTCTATTGAGTGTGAGTGAGCTTTATGTAGGCATAAGGAGTTTCATCTTCTATTAAGACGTCACTTCTTTTTCACAGTTGTCTTTTTGTGTTCATGCACTTCTGCTTTGCTAGTTGAACTTTTTTTCCGAGCTGAGGTATTAGGAATAACTGTATTGGAAGGTCCACTGGTAGCTATAGAAAAAAGAAACACAGCTGAGATTTCTCACCAGCAATCCACATTCCAGTAACACTGCTGAGTGACAAAATTTGGCAGACTTTTGTGTGCAGAATTCACTTTTTTTTAACTGTGGCATACACAAAACAATGTAACATAATACAACACAGCATTTTTTAACCCTTTGCTTTCTAGAGTTCAACACCGATTCACAAAAGGAATGTTAGTGGGCTTTGTTCATTAAACAAATTTCTTTTAACTCCTATAATTGAAGGTTGTGGTTACAATATCCCAGGCCTCTTCCCTTCTTATATATTCTAGATTATCCTATTAGGAATATCTATACTGCTAGTTGACATAGAATATAAGCATGTTTGAATCTGAACACATCATTTCCCCCCTATAAAATCTATTTTGCCTTATATTTCTCATCTTCTAATTATCCAGAAATATTCTTCAGTTAAGAAACTAGCCTTGGGCCTGGAATGATAGTACAGTGGGTAGGGTGTTTGCCTTGAATGTGGCCAACCTGGGTTCAATTCCCGGCATCCCATATGGTCTCCCAAGTACCACCAGGAGTAATTCCTGAGTGCAGAGCCAGGAGCAATCCCCTGAGCATCACTGGGTGTGACCCAAAAAATGCAAAATAAATAAATAAATAAATAATTAAAAAAAAGAAATAAAAGAAATCAGCCTTTGTAACCTAATATCAAGTTCTAACAAACTACTGGAAAGCAATTCTAGGCAAAATTACACTCTGGCAGGGAGGAAAGAGCCTGACAGAACAAGTCCCTTTGATAATGATAAAAATATAATAAACTATGTGAAAACACTGAAGAATGCATAAATGCTGGCATAAACTACAAAACAATCAAAGCAGAAGAGTTGACGGGTCCCTCCCATACCCCAGCCCCCAGCCCCGTTAAAAACCATTTGGCCTAAGGTTAGGATACAGTCTGCACCATGTGGCATGGTTAAAATTTTAACATTAAAAACTCATCCTTAGCAGCATAAAGAATCAGAAGACAAAATGTTGGGGCTACTACAATTTGTGGAAAGTTAGGCGGGAAATCTTAGAGAGATCCATTTGGGGGTTGATAAATCGTGATTAAATTTATGGCATTATATGGCATGAGCAGAGTAAGTTGCAAGAGTCCAGCTAAGGTTAAAAGAAGAGAGAGAGGGATTCTCAAGCTGCTATCACTTAAGGAATGGTCTTGCAATCTTGTTTTTTTTTCCCCCTCAGGGGTCTGGGGGTGAGAGAGGGGAGGTTCTGGGCTACACTCAGAGGTGCTCTGGGGACCCTATGTGGGGCGGGGGATCTAACTGCAATTGACCATGTGCAAGGCCAGTACTCTCTCCGGTACTCTCTCCAGTTGTGCTGTCCAAATCAGCCATGTTTAATTCTGCTTTAATAGAACCCAGACAACCCAAAATTTCTTGAACCATAACAGAAATAACAGGTTCTGGATTTTCTCCAGCGCAGTATATAAGATATGACCCACAACTACTACACAACTTAGGAAATGGAAACATTTTTCTTCTTGGGAGGGAACAGAAATTGACAGTCTTGAAGTGGGCTAGAATAATAAGTTTCAACAAAACTATTTAACTACGCTCTAGAACTAAGGAAAATGTTTTATAACAAAAAATGAGAAAATATCTTAAAAGAAAAAAAGAGCTGTAAGCAGAAACAAAACAAACTCCTGAAACTGAAATCAAATACACTGAATGCACTTTAACTACAGAATACATACTAGCAAAATCAGTATGATTGTTAAAAAAAAAAAAGTGCCAGTAGAAAATTGTTGAGAAACAAATGAGAAAAGCAAATGTTTCAATGTAATAAATTTAAATTTGGCCTGAGCAACAGCTCAAAGGGCTACAGTCTGCCATTCAGGGGTGCAGGGCCGAGCCTGGGCAGCACAGGGTCTCCTGGGCACTGTGAGGAGAGACCAGAACACTGAGCTGAGAGTAGAGCATGGCCCCAAAGCAAAGAAGGAAGGAAAAATCCATTAACGTATGGCGATAACAGGAACAAAAATTTAGATTAACTCAGAATTCTTGACAGAAACAACAGGAAACCAGAAGGCTGCAGAATATTTTTGAAGCGAATAAAGAAAAAAGAATTCTCTGACTTCCATCTAGCAAAATTACCTAATAAGAACAAAGGTGAAATGAGAACTTCTCAACCACAGTAGACCTGCAATAGAAGAAATGCTGACATATTCAAGTTCAGTACAAATGGAACCAGACTGAAACAATGGCTTGATGAAGTAATGAATGTGGAAAATGACAAATATGTAATAAGTCTAAGGTGTTTTTTTCAATCTCCTCTACTCTCTTTAAATACATATGGCTACTTAAAACCAACATCACATCATAATTTGCAGCCTTCATAACATACTTTGGAAATTGTGTTTCCACACATGAATAACTAATGTAAAGGGAGAAGGCAAATGAACCCCCAAAGCTGCCAAGTTTCTACATTTTAATTTCAGTGGAGCCTAAGTAAACTGAGAATACAGAGCCACCAGCATGAAAATAATGCAAATATTTCACTAAAAGCCAACAGAAAAATTAAAATGAAATTCAAAAATTGATTGAATATAAGACAGGAAAAGAAAAACGATGATAATAAGCAGAAAATAAAAGTAGTGGATCTAACCGACCATAGCAGTAAGTACATTAAGCATTAGTAGATTACAAACACTGCAACTCTAAGGCAGCTACTTCCAAGTGACTTTTTGAAAGGTCAGGATATTCTGCCTACAAAAATTCTACTTAGATATAAAGATGTAAATATGCTGAAAACAATTTACTATGCATAAACTAAGAATAACAAATCTACAGTGGTGGCTAAATTCATATCAGATTAACAAAAAAAAACCCAAAACAAAACACAACTTTAAGACAAAGCTTACAAGAGATCAAAGAAAATTTAAGAATGATAAATAGATCAGGAATGATAAATACATCAGGAAGCCATATCAGTCAAATATGTGTGTACTGAATCAGTGCTTCAAAACACACAAAGAAAAAAATAGACTGAAGAAAAAGGGAAAAAAGATAATTCCACAACTGTGAGCAGAAATTACTCTCTAAGCATTGCTACAGCAACCACAGTCTCTCTCAGTGGATGATGGACAAATCCCAAATTTTAAGTAATAAAAAGCCTCACGTACTGCTGTATTAAGGACTGCGCACTAACCGACTGCACCTCTGGAGCCACTGGAGATCCACTGGACCTCCTCCACCCAGATCCCCCATCTTCCAGTAGGTCGGCATTACACCCACCAAATGCCCCTGGTGCCGCACTATCCCATCAATGGCCAAGACCCAGAGACTATAAAACCCAGCTCCAGCGAATGCGGCCGCGCGACCTCTGATTATCTAGTTCTTACTCTTGGAGAACCTGGCAGTCTACCGAGAGTCTGGCAAACTCTCCGTGTCGTATTCAATATGCCAAAACCCAGTTACAATGATGGGTCTCATTCCCCTGACCCTGAGCGAGCCTCGAATGTGGCACTTTCTAAAATCTCAGGGCTAGGACGAAGGAGACATTACTGGTGCCTGCTCCAGGAAATTGATGAACAGGATGACAGTGACACAGCGACAGAGAAAAAGTCTCACATTTGAAAGACGTGTGCTGGACAACTGCAATAAATTAAATGAGAAACAAGTAACAAGAGACCCAAAACGTCCCCTCCCCAGACATTAAGAGATCAACCAAAGTTTCTAAAGATTTTATGACCCAAAGAAGAAGTAACAAAGTAAATCAGAAAATCTTTTGTTGAATGAAAATGAAAATATAACATCGCTTCTGAGCTGTAAATATAGAAATATCTCAAGTAAAAATTGCTTTAAAAGTTTAAGTAGCAAGAGAAGAAATGTCTAAGAGTGATACAGAAAGTAAAAGATGAAAGTAAATGTAAACTAAGTAGAAAAATGAGAATAAAAGAACAGAAATCAATGAAAGAAAATGGAAAAACAAAGAGCTAAAATCGCTGTTTATAAGGACGAAAAAATGTTAGAAAAACAAAATAAAAATAAAAAAAATAAAAAATAAAAAAATATAACCAGTATCATGAATAATGTGGGTTACTGCCATAATCATTAAAAGGACCATAACTAAAGAAGCTGAAAACTTTGATAAATGAACATGTTATTAAGAAATTACACTGCTACCAAAACCACCAAATAGAAAATTAAACCAATCCAAATTTAAAGAAGAAATAAGTATTTTAAAACTTTACTTTCCAGTAAGCAGAAGAGGCTATACTTCCCAATCACTTGACTGTCACTATTACCCTTATACTAAAACCTGAAATCAACTATCCCAAATAATAAAATAAATAAATAAAATGACAACAAATACACTTAAAAATGCATGTATGAAAATTCTAAAAGTGGAGTTTACCTGTGTGTGTGAGTGATTGTGTCCCAGAGTCTCCCAGGCGCTGTAGCAATCCCTGAGCACCAAAGTGGAAGCATCAGGAACAGCCCCTGCCCACTGACTGCTAGATGTGGCCCAGAAACCAAAACCAGAAAACTCAACATTCATGTGCCATGGCCAAACAGGGTTCATCCCAGACATGTAAGACTGGCCCATATTTTAGCTTATGTCACCAATAAAAAACCATGCACTGCCTCATTATTTCATCTTCACAAATGTATTAAGCCATGCATTAATTCTATTATGCAGAGAACATCAATGTACTATGATTCAAAGACAGTCACACCTTAGGTTTACTAAATACTAATTACACGGATCAGAGACAAATCACGATCTCTTGACACCACTTCAGCTATTTTCTATTTGTCTGTTTGTTTTTGGGCCACAACCAGTGATGCTCAGGGCTTACTCCTGGCTCTGCACTCAAAACCTATTCTCTCTGGTGCTCGGGAACTATATGAGATACTGGGAATTGAACCTAGGTTGGCTATGTGCAAGGCAGATGCCCGACCTGCTGCACTACCGCTCTGGACCCTGTCTTTCAACACTGATGTGCACAAAATGGCTACAGAGAATTGACGACTGTTGAGAAAAAGAGCAAGCTCTGGGACACCTGGACTGGCCAGGTCCCTATGACGGAGGTCAGGGAGAAAGAAACCCAGAGGGCAAGGAATAAGAGGGGGACGGGAGGTAACAGGGGCTGGGGCATCCTGCACATCGAGGGGTAGAGCTGGGGTGTACTTAAATACGCCCATTGGGGGGCAGGCTCATAGGACCTGGACCCTGGGGACACTGGCGGAGGGAAGGTCATGCTGATGATGAGCCTGTTACACTTAAAACTCAACTATGAGGAACTGTAAATTGTGGTGCCTTACTGTTTTGGAGGGTGGGGGCACACCTGGCAGTGCTCAGGGCTCCCTCCTGGCTCTGCTCAGGGGTTAATCCTGGCAAAATTGGGAGACCGTATGGAATGCCGGTAATTGAATCAGGGTTGGTCAATTGCAAGGCAAGTGCCCTATCCACTATACTATCTCTGGCCTCCCCCAATTTTTAAAAGACAAAGGACAGAGGGAAAAGGGGAAAAGGAGGAAGGAAGGAAGGAAGGAAGGAAGGAAGGAAGGAAGGAAGGAAGGAAGGAAGGAGGGAGGGGGGGGAGAGGGAGAGAGAGAGAGAGAGAGAGAGAGAGAGAGAGAGGAGAAGGAGGGAGAAAGGGAAGGAAGAAGGGAGGAAGGGAGATAAAGAGCGAGTTCTGGTCCCTGGAACATCTCAGCATCACAGGGCCTGCACCATCCCCAGCTCTCAGGCCTGAACTAGCATTGCACCAGCCCTGTGTGGGAGACCTGCCCTGGCCTCAAGAACACAAAGAGCTCCGCAGGACAGATGACTATTTCCAAGAGAGGCGCTGCGGGAAGTCAGCCTTACATGCAACAGCTACTGCAAACGGTCTCATGAGCAACTCGAGGGGTCATTCCTGAGCAGAGTCAGCAACAGCCTCCAAGAACTGCCATTTGTGACCCCAGCATCTCCCTTCTACCCTGAATATTTTTAACTCAATATATGTTATTTTTAATTCAGTACGTCATTATTTGAATTGCATATGTAACACACCATGACTGTATATTTAAGATACTTTTTCCATTATGCAGACATCATCACTGGAGTTTTGATGACTGTGTATCATCAATGAAGGTGGGTGCAGATTTGAAGACTGGAAAGTGAGAAGGGAACACCTTAGAACAAAAAACAATGACATGACTGTTATGGGAATTTCTGTGGGGGAGAAGAGAGGAAAACAGGCTGCAGTGTGAAAAACAAGTTAACATTTTTAGGGGGAGTTTACAAGACATAACCACTACTTTCTATATGTCATTACATTCATCACTGGCTTGTATGAATCTGAATCTATTACTAGAGGTTAAGTAACTTGTCCAAGGGGAAACAGCTAATAAATAATAGAGATTTTAATCTAGATCTCTCTGGCTCTCAAGCAGAAACTTAGCAAAGAGAATGACAGTATTGAAAGTAGGAAAATGGACATTTCAGGGGCCAGGGTGACAGTATGGTGAATGGGTCGGCGCTTGCCTTGCACACTGCTGAGCCCGGTTTGATTTCTGAGCACAGAGTCAGAAGTAAGCCTGAGCACCTTTGGACATAAGTCAAAGATAAAACAAAGTAACAAAAAGAATAAAGATATTACAAATATAGAAAAGCCATGCCTATATGGGATTTTCTACTGAAAAAATAAATGGGGTAGGAAAATATGAATACAGCTGATAAAAAAGTAGGAACCACAAACATGAAGAATAGAATAAAAATGTAAATAACACCAAGACACAGTAATGAATGTCCTTGGAAATCAGGATAAGAAAACATCTAAGGCACAATCAGCGAGATGAGAAATTGTGTGTAGAAGCTGAAGGGAAGAAAGTAGATGAGAAACTTAAATTCAGTCTGTTCATGGGATTGAGAATGAAGAGAGTAAAAATCTACAAACAAAGAGGAAAAAAAAATCTTCAGATGAAAGTACTAAACTAATGCACTGGCTAAACCGCCTATGGATGAGTTAGGAAAGAGGCATGAGAATGACATGTATTTTATTAACAGATGAGGGCAGAAGAGAAAGACAAGCGACAGGGAAAAATGGAAAAACACCCACAAATATATTAAGAGGCGAAAGTAACAGAAACCCCACTAGGATCACTCCTTACACTCCAAGAAGTATAATGATCTTATTGAAAACAGAGACTTTCCATTTAAAGAGCCAGCTAGCAGTACTACTCTCACAAACTCACACAGATTCCTAACCTGGTTTGCTGCTTGCCTTAGGGCCCTTTAATGTGCTGGACGGAGTTGGAAGGACCTTTGCAGGTGTGTATGTATTTAAAGAGACCTTCCTCCGCATTACTGGACTGATACGTGACGCTGGAGAGGCTGAAAAAAAAAAAAATAAACAGATGTGGTAATTTAGTAATTTCCTGCCAATTCTAGCTTTACATTTAGAAGATTTGTTAGTTAGCAGCCCTATGAGTAAACATAAGTAGGAGAGAACAGACCAGTAAGGGTTGTAGAGCAAACTCTGAAAAGCCATTCTGACTCTAAAAAGTGACCTCCGTGTCGCAGCCCCACCCATATTCTTTCCATGGTACGAACAATGAGCAGCAATACCATTTACTGAAGGAAGACTAATGAGAAAAAGGGGAATGACTATTTCATCCTGCCATAACACCGACTCATAAGCAAGAGCAGAGAACTGCTGGCAGGGCTTTACTACATAGGAACAGAAGACCAAAGAGAGTTGAACTGCTCTTCTCAGAAAAGCCAAGTCCACTGGAGATTCAGGGATGATCTACAAACACATGGCTGCCTAAACTCTCATCTTAGAGTAACCAGGTTACCAATGAACTACATCAGCCAGACTGTGCTTCTTTAAGTATTTCTGAAGAGATAGATCTTCATGAGGGGAAAATTTAATTAATTCATTCAACATAGACAAAAGCCACAACTGTTGATACAATTCTAGAGTTGAAGCTGATTAGACAGCAAAGCTCCAATATTAAAACCGTTAAGTTATAAAAATCAATTTTTATGTGAAGACTCGTTAGTAATGACATTCCAGTAGGACCACACTGAATTAGATGGGAAAGTAGCATAGAAGTCAACTAAACTCAACAACAACAGAAAACAGTAGCACAGTACGCTCAACTAACACAACTGTAAGCTTAATTTGTTGAAGGGAAATTTTAACAATTTTCTTCTCTTTCAAATCAAGATAAGGAGATTGTGAGGTGGAAAGAAAAAGTAGTGATAATTTCTTTCTTGGTTCTTGGGTCATACTCAGCAGTGCTCAGTGGTAACCCCCTGGTGTTGCTTAGTGTACCACACTTAGAGCCTGGGACTGAACTGGGATGGGCAGGACACAAAACAAGTGCCTTAACCCCGGTACTATCCCTCTGGCCCAGGCAGAGAGAATTCTTCAGTAGAATAGGGGGAGGCTTGCCAGAGAGGAGGAGCTACTGACTTGAACTTCTGGGTTCCGAAACAAAGAAAAATAGGAGATTAAAAAAAAAAAGATATAGGCCTACTCTTACAATTGACGGTAGGATCTAATTAGCAATAAAGAGTGTGTCTCTGAAAAACCATGTGTACATGGCAAATGTACACATACATCCGCGGTTGTAAGCACTCTAAATGAATGTAAATGCCATGGCAGAGGCTCAAAGGAGTCTAATGAAATAACAGGTGGTAAAAAAAAGTACCTCAAACATCACATAAAGTAGCACCACTGCAAGTAGATAGCTTTCTCCAGTTCCCGTTCCCTTTAACCTACTCTGTTAACTTCCTCCACTAACCTCCTAATGAGTGTTATACAGGGTTTCTCCCGAAATTTAAATCAGCCCATCAATTTAAGCTATTTACTAGTTACTACAAAATTCATTTTGTCCTAGGGGATGAATGCAGAGGATATACAATGTTTTCTCCATTCCTATAAACACTATAAAAATCTGTTTGTCTATAACATTATTTCCTTGATAATTAGAGAATCAATATTATGTGACTACTAAGTATTCATTCTGCATTTACAGAATAGAAACAGGATTCAGATGCCTCTGACATAATTGGTGCCCTATTTCCAGATTTAGAAGGCACAATACACTTGAGTTCTAATTTTGCTGGACCACTAACTAGATGATTTCCCCAACAAAATCTAAGTTTTTGCCCTTAACAATTTTTTCCCCACATACAGTTCCCTTAGTAGGAAACAGCAAGCTTAGTAGTAATAATAATGAAAGAACTAGGGTACAGCCTATAGTCACGCAACAGAGAAAAGTTAATCAGTACATAGAAAACAACGGTATATCCTTCGCTTCACTGTTAAACCCCAATACATACATGCTGGCAAATTCATTAAACATAAAACCATGAAGTAGAAGCATCATAGCATCAACCTTTAAAGATCACAAATATACAATTTTGGGGAGGGCAAATATTCCATCACGATTCTCTCTTTTTCAAAACAAACAGATGGCATTTCTGCCGTTATTATTACCTTTAAGTCATTCACTGCAAAGCTGATAAACTCTGAATAGCACTGAGATGTACCCTAAGCTCTTTTGTAACTAGTGAGAATCTTCCTGGCAGTGCCTATATTGCAAACCATAATGTCCAGAGAAGAAATTGAGAGAGAGAGTGAGAGAGAGAGAGAGCGAGAGAGAAAGAGAGAGAGAGAGAGCGAGCGTGCACTGAGCGCACTGGTGGGGCATGGGGATGGTGGTGCAAAGTGCAAGGGAAACTGGGGTCACTGGTGGTATAAAACTGACACTAATGAAGGGATGGTTATTGGAACATCCTATGACTGAAACCCAATCACGGACAACTTTGTAACTGTGTATCTCAGTGATTTCAATTAAAAAAAAAACCCCTTCAACTTAAAAATTCATATTCCTGACTTAGACAAGCAATGAAACAGCACATACAAGAGGGCCAGCAAGAACTATTTTTTTTCCTTTTTTTGGGTGGTACCGGGCTATGCTCAGGGGTTATTGCTGGCTCTGTAGTCAGAAATTACTCCTAGTGGTGCTCAGGGGACTATCTGGGATGTTGGGGATTCAATTGGGCTCAGCTGCATGCAAGACAACACCCTCTACGCTGTACTATCTCTCTGGTCTCATAGAACTATTTTTTAAAAATTTATTTTAGGCGCTCCCAGCAATGCTTGGGGGCTCATGGGGCTACACCCCAAAGTGTATTGGACGCTTTATGGGTGTTTCATTTTCTGAGCTATCTTACTAGCCCAAAACTCTCAATGTCATCAGTAGAGAACAGAATGTAAGTTAAACATCCTTTATTTCCATGACTTAGATTTTTGGCTGGGAGATTCAGGATCATATGATGTATTAACAACTCACATAATGACCCACATTCACATGCAAATTCTGAAATTTAAGCCTGCTTCCTCAAGCAGTTTCCAAAGGGCCTAATTTTAGAAGAGTCACACCAAAATACCACTCCCACTCCGATTAATTATTAGAAACTTATATTTACTACCAGAAGGGGAAGAATAGCAAATGGCCACTATTCTAAAGAAATGCAGAAAACTATGTGCAGAAAAGACATGTGACTAGAAAGTTCCAGGAAGCTCCAGAATGAAACAATGTGAAGGCTAACTAAGGGAAGAGAGTAAACAAGAAAAGAGCAAAACAAGAAAATGACTTTCACTCTAAGACCTTCACTTTCATTCCCACAAGAAACATATTCACTGCTTTCTTACAGAAAGGAGAACGGCATGCACAGGAAGTTTGCATATTTTCTACTTTTAGTAGGGTTTGGAAAATTCTTAACTTTGATCTGAAAACTCTCTCTTAAAACAATCACTTGCCAAAGTAGAAATTCCAAGGTGCTAAAGGATTCAACAGAGTTGAAAACCAAGGATCTGTTGACTTCTAATACAGGACTTTCTGATCTGACACTTAAGATGGTATGAACACCATCTTAAGTTCCATCTTTCCCTTGGAACAATGCTACATGTTCAAATCACAGTCACAGTCCTCCCGTTGTTCATCGATTTGCTCGAGCGGGCCCAGTAACGTCTCCATCATGAGACTTGATGTTACTGTGTCTGGCATATCGAATACGTCACGGGGAGCTTGCCAGGCTCTGCCGTGCGGGCGAGATACTCTCGGTAGCTTGCCGGGCTCTCCGAGAGGGGCAGAGGAATCGAACTCGGGTCGGCCATGTTGGCTGCGTGCAAGGCAAACGCCCTACTGCTGTGCTATTGCTCAAATATGGCACCAAAAGTTATTTCTCAAAAAGTAAATTTGAAAAATCTGTGTGTACCAATAACTTTCTTTGCAGAAGTGCAGTTGTTTATATGCTACTGATACTCTAAATTACTGCTGTGCCTGGTCAACCCCAAAATCTTGGGATCAAGTTTCCTGAGAAATTAAATGGCAAAAAGTTATGTATGTGGAAGCTATGCACACAAACCATCTCTGGCTCAGCTATACAAGCTTATTCATTGGTCTTATTTCAGAGACCCATAGATAAATCTCAAAAGAGATTAAAAGCTGCAGTTAATCTTGGACCCATGCAAGGCTGAACAGATGGGGGTAAATCGGAGAGGATTAGGTCAGCCTGATGCCCGCCCTAGCAGAGTCCCTGGGCAGCCGCTTACTCCCACAATCCAAAATCTCCACCATGCACCCAAATGGACAGACTCCACTGTCTCAGGATGGTTCTCACTGAGATATTAACCTGCTGAAAATTCAGATATCCGAGTTTTGTGACTAAAATCTCCAGGCTTTCTCTGGGTTGGACTGGCTATCTCTGCCCATTTCACTGTATTCCTGGAAGCACTGACTGTTACCCCCATGAACCAACTCCAGTGCCATCAAGTAAGCTCTTCTCCTGGCCTTGTTTCAGAGACCCATACATAGATCTCAAAACTCAAAAGAGATCAAAAGCTACAGTTAATCTCGGACCCAAGCAAGGCTGAACAGATGGGGGTAAATCGGGGGGGGGGGGGGGGGGGGGGGGCGGCGGCGGGTAGGGATTTGCCTGGTGCCCATCCAAGCAGAGCCCTCAGTAGCAGCTCGCTTCCACAATCTAAAATCACTAACATGCCCTGTCTCGGGACAGACCTCACTGAGATATTAAGCTGTTGAACACTCGGGTATGAGAGGTTTGTGACTGAAATCTCCAGGTTGGAATGGGCTACCTCCTCCCACTTTCCTGTACTTCTGGAAGCCTGCGCAGACATGTCCACACCCCAAAGCTGCCACCCAGTTAAAAAAGCTACTCCAGCTAGACCTTCTGGATAAAAATACTGAACACACTTTATAAACACAATGACCTCTTAATAGCTGTATTGCAAACCATAATGCACAAAATGAGAGAGAGAAAGAAGAAAAGTGTCTGCCATAGAGGCAGACTAGGTAAGGGGATAGAGCGGGGGTTTAGGATGATGGGAGGAAAACAGGGAATATTGGTGGTGGGAAAGAGACACTGGTGGAGAGATGGGTGCTAGATCATTGTATGACTGAAACTCAAAAACTGTACTGGTCTAATGAATATTCAATTACAAGTTTCTTTTCTTTTCTTTTTTTTAAAAAAAGATTTCTTCAATGAATAAAAATCCTTAGACTCTAACCACAAAAGTGAAATTGCCGAGGAAAGGGCAATGGGTTTGTAAGGTTCGGCTGAGAGTGATGGTAGAGAAGTGGTACTTTGGTGGTAGGTAGGGGAAGTTACGTGGTAACAATGTACCCCTAGAACAGACACATTACCTCTTGTAAATCAGTGATACTTCAATTAAAAAAGAAATTAGAAGATACTTTCCTATATCATTATGCTATTTGACTCCTACTGACGAGTCCTACCTTTTTTCTTTTTCATAACACCGAAGATTTGGGGAAGGAGTTAATACAAGTGGGACAGTAAAGAATCCTCAAGAATTCTTTATATCCCTTGGTCTCTTAACATTTTTATGCACTTCTACAACTTCATTTGTTTTAACATTCATGTTTTTGAAATCATAATTACTCATGAAAATAACAATGAATAATATAGCAACAACAATAATATTAAGGAAGGTAAATTTTCCTACAAATTTCAGGAGTCTTCTGTAGAACTTCATTTGATGGACAGGCAATAGAAGCGAGAAATTCATCCACCTGCTTTAAGGACAGGGCATTGTGAAGAGTTTCCAGAGGGCAAATAGACGGTACCATGGAATATAATTCAAAACCTGGAAAAAGAAGAGGACAAAGATGAAAAAAAAAAAAAACAAAACAATTGGACAATAAAAAGCCCTTGATTTAGAAAGGAAGAAAACCACTGCTTATAGCCACAATTTGACTTTCAACTCAGCACATACAAACACACACAATTCTGAAGTCATGACACCACTGTTACATTACAGCATGAGGTTGGAACAAGATGGGACAAAAATTTCATCTCAAATATAATCACATAGCACAGCATGCACACAACGTCACTCTTCTTCAGATTCTGCTTTTTAAAATCAGGCCTCTATGATGGGTGAATAAGCTGATGACAATATGTACCTCTGATATTAGATTGCTAATGGCTAACGCATGAAGAGCAACTACATCACTACTTGAAAAAAGTGATTTTAAATATGGCTCCAGTCATGCCAAAGCCAACAATATTAATTAGAGCAACTCCAGATGGACTGTTTGTTGATGCTGGAAGTAAAGTTCCAAAACAGACTTTACATACCTGGACTGAACTATGATTGGAGTGCTGTAATTTGCTGAGTCAAATTACCCCAATAAGATGCAATACAAATTATATTTTATCTGCAGTCAATGTCACAGAAATAACTTTCATATAACAAACCATGCAGATACATATTAAGACCAGCAGTGAAACAAAAGCACCTTAATACATAGGATATTTTTTAAAGAAACCTGACATAGTTTTTTATTTTTATAAAAATTTTCTATGTATTAAAACTTTATTCAACTGAATGCCTTGAGGGTGAGGAGGCAGAGGGGTCACATCTGCCAGGGCTCAGGGCTGTCTCCTGTCTTAGGGCTCACTGAGTAGGTACTCAGGGAACCATATGCAGTCTGGAGAATTGAATCTGGGTTGGCTGCACGTAAGACAAGCACCTTAACCTTGTATTATCTTTCCAGTCCTGCAAATAAATGATTTTTAAATTTGCATCTACATACTTTTCAAATAACAAGTTTTTGAAATATACACTTAAAAATCCAAAGGTTTTATTCAAGTCTAACCATTAATTAAAAATCATTTAAATCTAAAGAGGCCAGAGAAAAAGCATGGGCTTAAGGAACATGCCTTACATATGGCTGACCTGAGTTCCATCCCCAGCACTCTATGGTCCCCTGAGCATCCCAGCCGAGCACCTGGAGACATTTGGGCACAACTAGGATGCCCCTGACAATCCCCCACACGGCAAGGCCTGAGCAGCACCAAGTCCTCGGCCCTTGCACAGAACTGCATGTTAGGATGAGATCACTGGGAGACCCAGGGCTACTGAGGACTGGAAGAGACCCCTCCCACTCCCCCCCAAGTAAACTCAAATGGACTGCAAAATCTGATGCTTCAATAGGCATGAATCATTTTTAACACTGACCGGAAAATGATTTGTTTAATTTGGGGGGAAATACTGAGCAAGATACTACCTAATCTCAGCTAGAATGAGAAAATGTGAAATGGAGAATTTGGTCTACCAAAAAAAAAAAACACACAAAACCAAAATGCTTTATAAAAAATGCTGTTTGATTTTCAGGAGCAAACAAGGCATGACAAAACATGACAAATGCTTTAAAGAAAGGTTAAAAAGAAAAACCAGTAGTCCAAACAATTTGACCAGAACAACAGGTAAGGCACCTAAGCACTAAAGGAATTCATCTTGCACAACGACTGTAGTTTTTCAAAATACAAGGTTCATGCATGTGAGCCAAACCCTGTTGTCGAATGACATAAAACATCCTCTGCTCAGGATGTTTGGGAGTCTAGTGTAATGTACGCTTGCTTGCATTTGTTAAAATTTTCCAACAGGCAAATGCAATATAGTCCAGTGCCTATAGACATCATTCTGCCCATTTACCTTTAGTAAATGCTTTCTGGAATACACAGGGGAAGGGTCAGCACAGCAATTGGGAAAGCCAGCCTGCTCATGTTTAGAAGCAACAAAAACATACCACTGGAGCCCAGAAATCCCAGAAGAAATGGACCAGCACCTTTAGAGGTGTAGGTGTTCTGCCAGAGGGCCCGAAATTAAGGTTAAGCACTGTCAGAAGACACTTGTTTCACTGTGTTCCTTGAACTAGAGATGAAGGGAGGGGTAAGTGCATGGTATGCGTTAAGATGGAAACAACATAACCAGAGAACTCAAAAAAGATCAAATGATGAGTGGTAGGACAGCTAAGATGATGCAGGATTTAAAAAACACATAATAAACTGTGAGAAGTACAAATAAATATTTCTAAAGTTGAAAGGAATGTGCTATGTGCACTGATTTGCAAAACGTGTGGGAAACACCTTAAGTCAAAGGAGTATAAAAGTAACTCCACTTTCTATTAAATTTAACACTGTCACTATCCTCCTGCTGTTCATTGATTTAATTGAGCAGGCCAAGTAATGTCTCCATTATGAGACTTGTTACTGTGTTTGGCATATGGAATACGTCGCGGGGAGCTTGCAGGGCTTTGCCGTGAGGGCAAGATACTCTTGGTAGCTTGCTGGACTCTCCGAGAGGGGTGAAGGAATAGAACCCAGGCTGGCCGGGTTGGCCACATGCAAGGCAAACCGCCCTACCCGCTGTGCTAATTTAACAAATAACTTAAAAAAATTTAAACCCAGGTTTTGTACTCATCTAAACATAATCTTTACACAAAAGCTATAGTCAGTATTAAGCCTGAAATGTCTCTCCAAAATATTGTGACTTTTGTCTGTCTTGTGATTTTGGTTTTTGTCTGAGGTTCTTACAGTTCTCAGTTCTTTTGCTCCTGCAGCTGTATCAAATAATGATTCATGCCCCCCCTTCCTTTTCATGCCCCCCCTTTCTTCAAAAAACTTGCATTTATTAAATATCTGCAATGGAGAGGGAAGCACATTAAACTTCAAAGCTAAATTTTCATTTGTTTAGGATGAGATCTTTTCACTTCATCTTCGAGATGTCAGGGTGCAGTATCTAGCTTTGCTGCAGAAGGATACATAAAGGGGAGAATTAAAATTTTGTGTTTGGGCCGTTAGCTACATAAAAGTTCCTGAAAGACCTGGCCTGAGGGTTTCAAAGAGTAATGATGTGCAGCTAAATTTTTACTCCCAGAGTTGTAAGTTACCCTTCCTTCAATAAAAAGCAATTACCTGTATGTTTTCTTTTTAAATTAGTCAATCCTGAATTACTGAAAAACAAGCAGTGCATAACCAAAATGCTGTTCACCCTCCTTCAATTAAGAAAAACTGGGGGAAAATAAAACCCTACAAAAGTGCCAAATTCAGCTTAACAATTACGGTCAAAAAATACTTTACATTTCAAGCTACAAAACTTAACTGACTTAAATTGACCTTGTAGATTTTAGCTTAAACTTCTTCCTGTTAAAAGTTGTCCAGTTTTGATGGGAGTGGTACCAAAAAGAATGGGCTTGTTCAATGCAAGCCCAATAGTCTACATTAGGACAAAATGACGCTGGATAAAGTTCTCAGGATGCTTTAGACAAAGCCAGATTTTGCTTTAGATGAAAAGCCAGGGATAAATGGTATTAAACAGTGAATTCCACATTGCCTGGTTCCCAAAACTTTTCCAAAGTTGCATTTCATTTGGCAATTTAACCAATATGGCTCTACATTTCTCTTAAACAGCTCAATAAACAACCATAGGATTGGATCAGGATAGAAAATTAAAGGTACTCAGAATTAAGAGAAAATTAAAAATACTAACATGTTTCTTAAGATTTTGGGTATACTGATTACTTGAGAGATTAGACATTTTTCGATGTTATTTTAGGATTAAAATGCATCATTGCTGTGGTCATTTAAAAGTTCGGTGAGTGGTGTTGTTATTGTGTGGATTATAGTTGGAAAAATTGAGACAGCCTCAAAATTGGTAGTGAATAATTGGCATTGAATGTCAAAATAAATTAAGGGTGGAGAATGCATGATACTGTACACCCCACATTTTGAAATTAAAGAAAAATAATAAAGTATGAAGCAGGGGAGTATCTTTTAAAATAAAAGCAAAACGTACCATTGGTTGGGTGTCGAGCAAATGAGATAGAAAACCTTTTAACAGCAGAACCGCGTGTGGCGTCTGAGAAAGAGAAAAACAGGTTCCTGAAATTCGTTAACAGCTACCAAAGGAAGAGACACTTACAAAAGAAGGGAAAACAAATATAAAAAGAGGTTAGAATTATGTGAACATGCAGAAGGGACAATGAAAGGAGATAATAAGCCAAATTCTGGCTAAAGGAAGTAAAATGTCTGGATGGCAGAACGCAAGTGTGTGATGGAGTAAAACCAAAGAAAGAAAAGCAAGATGAACCAAAAGTTCCGGTAAATCCATGTCTTTACTGACTCAAAGAAGTCTGGGGACATATGAAAAAACAAATTGCTAAGCCAAGCTAACCTTGAACGAAAGGGCTAAACTCTTTCATAAACAGAATATGAGCTTCCATTAGCCCCAGAACATACTCTGGACCTTAAAGCTTCGTTACAGTGATATGTTGAGAGGCTCTTCTTCACCTGAGACACTAAAAGATCATCTCATTCTGAATCTTATAAAATTATCACCAGTATTCTTTTCCCCCTTCCCGCAATTTTAAACATCCTGTTCGCTTGATTTGAATTAATACCAGGAAGCAAAGTAAGGGTTAAATAAAAAGTGCAGGAGATCAGAGAACGGGTTCTTTGCAGCCTGATTCACGAGCTATCATCTAAAGGAAGAAGACATGGGATGCGGTTCTGTCACATTTCAACACGCTGGTCCTTGACCGAGCAGTCAAGTTGGCCTCCACGGAACTGCTGAAACGTGGATCCAAACTGTGAGTCACGCAGCGCCTTAAGCACAGAGCCCGGGGGAGGGGTTGTGTCCCCTGGCTTGATCATGGGTGGGTCTGCCTGTGACATAGCCCCAGTGCTCCTGGGTGTGTGTGTGTGCGTGGCTGGAGGGATGCATCTGTGCGTGCATGTGTGCACATACCATCTATGCAGCCAGCAGCGGTCAGCTTTTTACGATGTGCACGAGCATAATCTTGTAGGTTAGGTGCGCTTGAAGAAGCCCCGAGCACTGAGCTGCTAAACAGGCTCGCGCAGTGAGGCCCTGATGGAGTCAGAGAAGATACATACAACAACGGGTATTCTCTGGGCATGGGGGGCTCATGCAGCATGCAGCAACCCGGCGCTTACCAACCACCTCAGGCAGGGCCGTCAACACGCTCACAACACTCTCGTAATGCCAACGTTAATACAGTCACAACCACCAATTAGCATGTGTACCCGCAGACAAAATGGTGTCTTCAAGAAAAATAATATGCCCAGTAACTAGACATAGACATATTACAAGGTGGAAAAACACTGCCGTAAAATACTCATTTTGGATAAGGGATTCGACCGGTTGCCGTTGGAGCAGACCATAGAAGAAACTTCTAGCACGAGTCACATCAGATCAGTCTCTGAACATGTATCTGTCAATAAGAACTTTATGGTGCCACTGAATTGAGAAATGATCATTTGCGATAAAATAAAGCAAATCAGAGCTTACTTGTGAGCAGATCTGGTGAAAACAATTCCTTTTACTTCACTGAAGCCTAAATCACTTTAGATTTCCAATACAGAAATCATTTAAGGTTTTAATTAGTAAGATCCCAATAAAGCACATTTCTAGCAAATAAAAATGTAAACGGTGCTCAATCTGTAGTGAACGTGTTTACAGCCACCGAAAACCAGCCACTGGGTAAGGATTAAAAAAGGGTGTATCGTTATATATTGTACTAGAATATATCAATATGGAAGAGTTTTCAATCTATAAAGAAAAAAAGACTATAAAAACGCTAAAGCTATTGACATGTGCTGTATGTAATTAACTCAAACTCTTCAAGTGCACAGCTATCAACACAGCTCATATGGCTCTAAGTCTAAAGATCATAAGACATACATTGTTGAAACTTCTAACGACTTTTATATACTTTTATTCAATGTACTGAACCAATAAAAATATGCTATTACTTTAGATGGTTTGGGAAAAATGACTTAATATTGAATAAATTTAGAAAAGAATTTTCCAGAGTTTTGAGTATTCATAGAGACAGGCCAAAGCACTAAGTTAATAATGCTACCGCAGGTTCACTTTGCTTTGGTTTTCCTCAAAGAGATGCTCAAAAGGAAAACGAAATGAGTCTGAAACACTCCCTGATTTTTTTTTTATATCAGAAAAGTAGAAAAGTTTTGCCATGTGGTAGCACATTTTCACCTTTATTAATTAGGGAAAATGAAAATTCCTTCTTCACTAAAACATTCTGAGGGGCACGTGATGCGGTTCTGTCCTGGCACCAAATTAAAACAAACACATGCTGGGATTCCAACTTAAAGAAATCCAGGTTGTGAACGAACACTGGGAACTGTACTATGCAGTTGGCATTGTGAATATTCAAAGGACTGTCCAAATACAACTTAAAGCTAGGTCATACCCATTTAGCTGAAACCTTACTGAATATTTTGAGTCATACAACTTTTAATATTTCTGAGTTAACATGTTAAACAAAAATCGTGCTTTTACCACCAAACAATTTTACATGTTGTGTAAATGGTTGAGTTTCAGACCGCCTGGAGTGCCGTTTCCTTTACACTACATACCTACGGTAGGGTTCTGCTTCTGTTCCACAAGAGTTCTTGGTGTTCGAAGATAATTAGCATTTTCAGAGACAACCTGCATAAGAAAGCAAAGGAAAATGAAATGAAACAGTAAAATAAATCCTAAGATCCATACTTCATTTGCAGCCTGTTCCAGACAGACATGGTTAATAAGCTGTATGATAAATATTAGTAGAAATACATAAAACATAAAAAGATCATGCAAGATCCCCTTCTGAAGGGAGCCCATTTCATATGAGGTCCTTGCAATGAAGTGGTGCGAAGCAGGCATTCAGAATGAAACATCATGTATGAAACGAGACAGATGAATAGAAATGATTCATAGACTGAGATAATTTCACTCTCTCTTAAAAGAAGCAAATACCCACTCTTAAACAGCTCCTGTATTCCAGGGGGAAAACAATCACAAACGAAAGAAAAGACAGACAAAGACCACAGAAGTCACCATACAATTACTGATCCATGCACGGGCTTTATCAGAGTAACCTTTAAGTATTCACAGCCTCAATGGATACCATAATCCCTTTTCCTATAATCAAGTGCATTATATATTTCCAAAAGGAAACTGCTGAAGTTCTTGGAAAAGTCATGTATAATAGCAGACCTTCCATTGTTAAAACAAACAAAAACCCAAAACAACCACACGAGTATTTTAAGGTTCAATATGTCATCATAGAAAGTCCTTCTGAAATAATTTAATTTTAACCCATATTCACAATGGACACAACATATACACAATATTTCCTCTTACTTAAAGAGAGCATCAAAATGTATAACTCAAAACAACCCACAATGTACATATCCCTTAGACACTTCCTGATAATGGAATAGTGAGGGAAAAAACAATCAGAATGAGATGTATCCTGTTAATTAACACAGGGACACAATGATTTTGATAGGTAAGTCTACAACATATACATTTTGTGGGGGATATTTTTTATATGTTTACATTCTCAGCAAATTCCAGTGGAATATAATTTTTCAATTATGCAAAGAAAGTTATTAAAAATTTTACCATCAATATAAATAGTTTTGTGTCCGAATATTTTGAAGGACGACTAAGTTACGAAAGATTACTTTTCTGAAAGGGCTACTACATAAGTTCAAGTTTCAGGAGCAAAATACATTATTTCTTAAACTCCTGATATTTAAAGCCCTCCCAGTGAAAATGACAAACACATCTGATGTGAGAGGCTGTTTTCCCTCGACTATTGGTGGAAAACACAAGGATTTTCCAAGGACTCAAAATTAAAAAAAAACAGAAGGATTTACTCTGATGTGAAATACAAGGGATTAGATGTCCTCAAAGATAAGCTGTTTGTTGCTCTGAATGCAGGGAGGAAAAATGTTTAATGAAGTAAAGTTTAAAAACCTGTTGCCATGAGCCAAAAATACTGGATGTGAAAGCCAATGATTTGGGGGAGACAGGGGAAGAAGTGATTTGTTCCCCTGATCTGCGTCTCCGACGCCCAGTACCCACACCACTGGTATAAGGCAGCCAGGCACCAGTGCCCTCTGGGCTAGACACGCTCAGGGGGCTCTCTTCCTGGAAGTGAGAAAAGGGGTATAAAAAAAAAAAAGCAGAGCATGCAAAGTTAGATACAACAGAGCCACATGATCAGAAAGAAAAAAAAATACAGTTTGCATTTGCTTATCAATCTCTTAAAAAACTATTAAACAGTAATTTGGGAACCAGATATTGCAGTATTTGAGAGACCACCAGGAATGACTTTCAAGTCTGATCGCATGTAATAATAATTATGCTAATTACCTTCTCATCTGAAGCACACAAAATACTTATGATACTGCTTAATAGTTGTCCCTTCCCTCTTAAAACTGAACAGAGTTCCGCAACTTTCTACCTTAGTGATTTTTAAAATATAAATGTACACTGCTATATATTAGGTATTCGAAAGGTTTTGTAACTGGGTAAACTTTTTACGACCCAAAGCACTACAGAATTGTGGAAAAGTTAAAGAGATCTCAATGTACATAATGTAGTAACGAGACTCTACCAGATATTTTTTTCAAAATTAAAGTCATCAGACAGATTAACATTATACTTCCTTATACTTTCAAGCTGTTTACCCCCTCCAAGACTATTTAAAGAGTTCAGTAGGCAAAACATGCAGCAAACATTCTAGTTTTACATGTTTGCATGTTCAGGTTTCAGACAGCGAGGACAGAGTAAAATCTACTTGCACAAAATGAAGAGAATAGTCTTTTTCTCTGTGTGTCTTTTGGAAGTACAAACTTCTGATCTCCCTGGAGATGGTGGACGCTGGAAAAAGTCTTCAAGGTTTTACTTGAATAATTTACCTTATGGAAGTAAAAGTTTAGCATGGCATAGAAATAATCTCTTCAAAGCAACTATTTAAGTATTTATGAGAAAAAGGTTTATAAGTGTTCTGCATTTTAAGAGTTAACAAAGGGCAGTGATTTTGCTGAATATTTCACAAATTGAGATGGGCCACTGGATGAAGACGCACAACACTTGGCTCCATCAGCATGACATGTTTTTTGGAGAGCAGTAGAGAGTTTAACAGTGAAATTCTAAACAATCCGATTAACTGTAGATTGCTTTGTTCCATAACATCAAAATCACTGCCCTCACACAAGTAGTAGTTTTGGTTCTATTAATATATCTCATTTCCTAATTATCTGAAATTAAGGACACCTGAACATAAGCCCAGATTTCAAGTTTTTAAATCAAATTATCTTATATAATAATTTCATAATCTATCATTGCTAATCATCCTTTTTAATAATTAACTTCAAATATAACAGTCACATATATATTAACTAGTATATAATTTCCATTATAGAACTGCAACAACCTTTTTTGCCGATGGATTTTTAAAATATATGTAATTATTAATTTGGGGTACATTTGAGAATCATAAAGCATTTATATTTGTGTAATTTAGAGCTAAAATGAGCACCATTATTATTGTTTATATTCTTATTCACCAGCCCCTTGATATTTTGACATAATTATCGACAAAAATATTTTTCTAAATTAAAAAAATTGAAAATTTTATCTTATAGTTAAATTACAGCTATATATTTTTACTTAAACAACTAGAGAACACTTACAAGAACTGGTTATTGTGAGATGGTAAAGAGAATATGGTAAACCCAATAGAAATGTAATTAAATTATAAAAAAAATGTATATACACGTCAAGGATTTACTAAGAAAATAAGTAACACTCCACCTTTTCAATTTTGCTTTTCAATTTTTCTTTTGTAACTACTTAAATGCCAATTCATACTTTAAAACACAAGTTCTTGGTAAGAATAAATCTAAAATAATATGAAAAAGTGAATCAATTTATCAAGTTCTTAGAAAGGAGTTAAATGTACTATTTTATTCAATTTTGTGGTGAAAACTGTATATAACATCCCAAACTCTAAAACTAAACTTTGTATTTTTTATTGCCAGTATTACTGAAATTTATCTTACAAATAAAGCTGACGATTAAAATCCTGCCAGGTATCCAAGTTCATAATTAAAGCTGTATTTTCTTTTCTGTTTCATTAAAAATACAGTGAATTTACCTACTGGGACATGCTGGGACATACACTTACTTCGTTTGTGGCCATCTTCCTAGACCTGGGAAGTGGAGATTTCCTATGGATATGAATTGGTTCTGATACCAGGGGTTTGAATAATATCATAGCTCGGTCAGGCTCATCTTTTTTAGAAGAATGTGGTTCATCATCATCAGTTTTAAAAGATCTTCTGCCTTCATTCTGCAGGCAAAAATTGGAATGCATATCCTTTAAAAATCCTCATGAATTCAATCAAACTGATGTAGTCACTTTAGCTACATATATGTGTTTGTTTATTCAAACAAAACAGCATTTATTGAAATATTGTACCGGTCTATCATTACTCAAGGTACTATGTAACAAATAACAAAATCTTTGATTTTAAGAAAATGATTAGGGCCAGAGCAATAGTACAATGGGAAGGGTGCTTGTCTTCCAAGCTGTCAACCCAGTTAGATCCCCAGTATACCACATGGATCCTCTGATCGCCTCCAGCAGTCATTCCTGAGTGCAGAGCCAGCCCTGAGTATCCTCAGGTGTGGCCCCCAAAACAAAACAAAAAAAACCCATACATATTTAAACCACAGAAGAATTAAGCAAAAATAAAATCCATATGAAATGATTGCACTCTAGCACTCCTGTTATTCATCAATTTGCTCGAGTGGGTACCAGTAATCTCTCACAACAAATTGTGAGACTTGTTGTTACTGTGTTTGGCATATCAAATACGTCATGGGTAGCTTGCTAGGATCTGCTGTGTGGGCAAGATACTCTCTTGCCAGGCTCTCCAAGAGGGGTGGAGGAATCGAACCCGGGTCGGCTGGGTCAGCTGGGTCGGCCACGTGCAAGGCAAACGCCCTACCCGCTGTGCTGTGGCTCCAGCCGGTTGAAATAAATAAGCAATGATAAAAAAAAATATCCTTTTCTTAAAAAGGGTTCCCATCAGCATGAACACTAATCAAAATAATACTTGAACTTACAAATATTACTTATGTTTAGTATTTCCAGGTATACCAGATTTACTGGTATCATTCACTGACACAACTGAAACTTTTACTGAGTGCTTTGCATGCAGCCAACCAGGGTTTGAACCTGGCCTTGCGTATGGTTCCCCAAGCACTCGTTGCATATGGTTCCTCTAAGCTCAGAACCAGGAGTAATTTCTGAGCACAGATAAGAGTGAGCTCTGAGCATAATCAGATGTGGCCTAACCAATTAAAACAGAGTGAACAAATGACAACAAGGCATTGAATCTTAAATGATTCACATAATGATGGTATCTATAATAAGTGAAATCACTGTATTCATACAAATTAAATTCAAAACTGAGATTTCACTAAAAAAGCAGAAATCAGAATGGGAATTTTAGAGCTAAAAAACTACTCCAGTTATAAAATTAAGCCCAGTAAGCAAGAAGAACTGGAACACAAATAAATATTGTCTGTGAAACATGATGAAAAAAAGTTGTCCAAAACATTAAGAAGTGTGTAAGAAATATATGGCATAACAGCAGTAAGATATGCAGTAAGAAAGTATAATACATGCTTAACTGAAATTCCAGAAGAAAGGGGGAGATGGAAAAAACAAATTGGGATTGATAGTGCTTCTTATGTAGGTGATTTGATATCTTGTCACTCTGGAACACTTGAAATCTGTTGGGATTACTGTAAAACTATAAAAATATTCAACCAAAAAATGCAAGTATCCATTAGTCCAAAATTAACAGTAGAGCAGCAAGAAAGTAAAAAGCCAAGTTATGGAGTGGAAAGATATCTCAAACAAATAATGAAGATGTTTAATCGAGAATATATAAAGAACCACAAATCAGTACCGGATGGGGGTGGGGGGAAATGACAAAAAGACAAAGGAATCTTTGAAAAGATCAAAAGTCTTATATAGGCACAATCTAATGTGTCATAAACGTACAGGGAGGTGCTAATCCTTACTCTGAATCTTAGATAAACAGAATTGCAAAACTAATAATTATTTACTTATTTACAAGCAAGGTGTAAATTTAAACCACAAAGAGGTATCACTACATACATTCCTCTCCTGCCAGTAGTTATTTTAAATACATGTACTGACAAAGACAGGTCAGCATCTTTGGGAAACCATTTGTATCTCTTTGCTCTGTTTTGCTTTGTGTGGAGGTCACAGCTGGCAAAGCTCAGGGATTGCTCCCAATCCCCGTCAGTGCTTGGGGCCCGTGTGGTGCTGGGGATGGAGCCCAACCGTCTCTTAAAGTTGAACATCTGCACAACCTCTAGCTCAGGCTATTTTACTCCTAGATATAATCCTAAAGAAATGCAGACATGTTCACAAAAGACGTTAATAACGGCATTCGTCTTCATAGCTTTAACTGGAAGCAAAATAAATCTTAAAAACATAAAGAAAAAAGTCAAATTCACTCCCCACAGAGAGAAAATAATTATTAGTTTTGTGATTCTGCTTATCTAAGATTCAAAAATAAGAAGAATCAATATGTGGTGTAAAGTAGCTTAGGTACTTTGGAGAAGAAAGGGAGGAAGTGACTGAAGGGTGGGATGATGTGAGTATTCCACAATCTTGGCTAGTGTTTCACAACACATTTCTTTGTGAATATTATCAAGAGAGATATTAAGATTTAAGTTCTATCAATTGTGCCATAATGTAGGGGTGTGTGTGTGGGGGGAGGTGGTAATAAGACTTTGAATACATATGTTGGGCTAATATGATGATTAAAAATAGTTCTCAGTACAACCACCAAAAAAAAAAAAAAGAGTTTAAACACTAGGCTTAAAGTCTAAATGTTCTAAATAAAAGTTAAATTTATTGGCATTATAACATGCATACTTCAAGGTTGCTTTAGTTTTAAATCATGCTGCTATGAACTGAAGAGAAAATTATAGTACATTAACAGAAAAATCCAGAACTTCAGGAACTAAGCACCAGGCGTTTGGTTTTCCTTACCTCTCTTGAGGCGGGTCTGTATCCATAGCCAGATGGTAAATTTTTGTCTTCTTCACATCCTTTGGCTCCGGGGCTAAAGTGTAATTCAACATGGAAGCGTTCCTCAGATGAAAGATCCTAAACAACATTACAGAACATTTCTGAATAAGAAATCGGAGAGAGGAGAAAGATGGATGGAAAGTAATGGGGGCCAAGGATCAAGGTCACAACAACCAAACTTTGAAGCTAAAAGGGGCGGGGAGAGGTGGGAGGGAGTCTAGGGACACTGGTAGAGGGAAGCTGATGCTGGTTCTGGGATCAATGCCGGAAAACAGCATGCCTAAAACTCAACAATGAATAATTTTGTAAATCACAGTGTCTTAATAAAATTTTTTTATGAAAAAAATAAAAACGGGCTGGAGGATAGCACAGCGGGTAGGGCGTTTGCCTTGCACACGGCCGACCTGGGCTTGATCCCAGGCATCCAATATGGTCCCCCAAGCACCGCCAGGAGTAATTCCTGAGTGCAGAGCCAGGAATAACCCCTGAGCATCGCTGAGTGTGACCCAAAAAGCAATAAATAAAATAAAATCAAAACAAAATGAAATAACACAATGCCCATAAAATAAACAATAAACTGCCCATAAAAATGAAATTGCATTTAATCATGATATTTTGCAATAAAAAAAACTGTAACAAATAATAACAAAGGTTTTATCTCCTGGATCAAGAAAACCCAGAGACAAAGTCTGGCTTTTTCAAAATTGACTTCTAACCATAATTAAATTTCAAAGGATTGCTAATTCACCTGATAAAGTTAAAGTAATTCTCAACTTAAAAAAAAAACAAAACTACTTCAAGTTATTTCCCTCTGGAAAACCGATCTAGTTACCTTGTTAGGATCCTCATAAAGCATGATAACAATCTGAGTCATGTAGTTCAGTTCATTGACAACATTTAAATAATCCATAGCTCGTTTCCACTGTTCATCCTTTGATTCCTGAACAAAAGGTATAACATTTATATATATATATGTAGTATACCCTTTTCCCCAGATTATGCTAAGACATTGCTTCATTTTTATTATTTTAGCTTAATCCTGAGTGATACCACACAAACAAAATAAATACTCACACGCACAATTCTGCAAAGTAAACGAGGGTAGTCTCTATCCTGTGGAGTATACTTCAGAAATAAAATACAGAATCTGCCTGTAAGGGCAGTGCTGTTTTCCCACCATCACAGTCTATGTATGTAATATGTGCCTATCAGTAAACAATTCTCATGCCACAGCGAATCATCTTACAAATTACATCTTACATCTTACAAATCAACAGGAGGAGGCAGATGCAGGTCCCTTGATCTCATCCACTCACCTTCACTTACAGAATCAATGGTCTAGACATATAATCATAGAGCATTGTAACTGAATGCATTCTAAGAAATTTAAAAAAGAGTTCTCCACCGAAATCTAAATGAAGTACACAAAAACATGAACAAGAAAAGAAACAGAAGCAGAAAATAAAGGACACAAGGCAGTAATGTGTCCATATAATCACCCATAATGCAACAGGTGAAAAGGTACCGAGGAGTTCCACAGCTTAAAAAAAGCAATACACAATTATTTACATGCTACTTAACTCAAGTTATAAGGACAGATATAGATTTAAATCAACAGGAATGAGACACCTCAAAAAAGAAAAGAACAAAGCTCTCATATGAACCACAGAATCTACTTCTTGACATCTTACCCCTTGAACTCCAAACCATTAAAACTTGAAAAGGTGTATGATCTTACCTATGCTCAGTTCAGTGAGTTGATTCGGGTAAGCAGGCTGAAAACAACCACTTAGCTGACAACATGGGTTACTCATTACAGAAAAGGGAAGATGATCTTTACTGGAGCAATCGGAAACTCTTAATTATTATTATCACTTTCTTTTAGGTTTTTGAGCCACGTCCAACAGTTCTCAAGGTCCAACAGTTCTCAAGCTTACCCCTGGCTCTGCCCTCAGGCATCACTCCTGTATGAGATTCTTAATGAAGGAATGGGTAACACATACCTAGACTTCAAAATTGTTATGCGCCAGTGATTAGAGTGTACCTTCTATCTCCCTTCTTTTAATGATACTATCTAGAATCATTATTTTGATATGGGGCCATAGCTGGTGGTGCCCATACTACTCCCAGCAGTGGGCTCAGGAGACAAGATGATAGCAGGAACCAAGAACAAAGCTCCTGCATGCAGAGCCTACACCTTGCTGTTGTGCTCTCTCTCAAGCCCCTACAGCAGTTAGACCTTAAGAGTGTTTGGGGGCTTTCAAGGGCTTTAGTCTTTCTCGGCAGTTCAGTTTTTGAATTGCAAATGAGTGTTCCTGAGCTCTTCAGCTGCCTGAGGCTCTGCTCTGCTGCGGGGGGGGGGGGGGGGGGGGGGGGGGGGGGGGAGGGGGGGGGGACTGGCAGGGAAACTCAACCCACCTCCACCTCCCAAGGGGCCTCCAGTGGGGACAGCAGACTCTGTGTTGTTCTCTTCCAGGAGCTTGGTTTTAGACTCTGGGTCTTGGCCATTGATGGTATTACGCAGCGGGGGCAGTCAGTGGAAGATAGGGGATCTGGGTGGAGGAGGCCCAGTCCCTACAGGAGCAGGCTTAGAGATCTCAGCCCCAGGTAACGCACACTTGGGTTCCTCTGCGGGTTCCTTCATGTGTGAGGCTGAGCTCTTAAGGAGCTGTGACCAAGGACCCCATCCCGCACAGAATTAACCTAGATGATGTGACGATGCCTGGTTTCTGCTGTATGTGAAAGCCCAAGACTGGAGAAACTAAGTGAACTTTGCTTAGTGGGAAAGACGTGAATTGTGAGCTCAATGAACACACTGTGATAAAGACTATTTTCCAATGCAGCCTATTCCAAGCATTTATTTTAAAACGTGACAGCAACACTCCAATCGTCTACCAGGCCCAAGGAGAGGCACCAACAATGGTAGCAGATGTGAGCTCATGTTTGGTCTTGTAGATAAGAGAGACAAAGTCCAAATCCTGTCAGTCAATTTTAACCCCTAAAAAGCAAAAATTTGTTGGCTTTTCTTTATCCCACTGAGATCCAACTTAAAAAATCACCAACAATATTTTATATTTTTCCTTGGATGTGCCTTGTTTGATGGAATGAGAAATGACTTCTAATACCCTTATCTAGCATAATGCTTGGCACATAATAGACCCCTATTAATGATGACAAGTGATGAACTATTAAAATCGTAAACTCTGCTGTGATTTGATTACAAATTCAAAAAAAATGTGTTATATAAGATGGCATGATTATTCAACTTACATTACATAAGGCACCATAGCGAAGAATGGATAACAAAGAATGTACATGGCTTTCACTGGTGAAGTATAATCTGGTGCGGACATGACGTTCGGGAGAGAGAACACCTCTGGAATACCTGGGAGTTAAAAGCAAACAGTCAAAATACAGCTAAATAGCCAATATTATCATGTTATCATGTCACAAGATGCTACTATTCAACAGAATTGAATCTTGGTACAAGTAAAGAACATCATAAATAAATCTGCCATTATTTCAACCACAACTGAGGAATTATTTCAGTAGAACTGAAGTGGGACTCTCAGGTTTCTTGAAGGAAAGGGGGGTACTGGTAAGTTCACCGGAAAGAGGACATTTACCTCATCCAATTGTAAGGACAAAGGCATCTGCCCAAAGCAGCTCAGAGAAATTTATATCCCGAATGCAGTGCAAACCCCTGTCTTCCTGTGAACAATGACATATTCCCTTCCCCTGTTCATTTTCAAACTGGCTTCCAGTCTGGAGTCAAAAATAAACCTTCGTGGGAAGTTACCTATTACAGATACCTGGGTAAGCCTTACTTCCATCGTGGGACAAAAGGTTTACTCCTGATTTCTTCATAGAAACGTTACTGTGTAATTTAGATTGGATGCACGCAAAAGTAAAACACCTATGGAGTGAAATTCTAGTAGTTTCTTACACAGGATGGAGCTTATTTACAGTATCATCATCTTGTGTCCTTTGAAGGTCTGAGCGGATTTTTCTAACTAGAGGAGTACAGTAGCCCTTGGCAATCTCCAGTTTTTCAGCTTTAGTTATACCATATTCCTGAGCAGAAAATAAATAAAATTAGATAAAGAGTACGATGACAAAACGCTATAATAAATGTACTACAGAATTCAAGAATTCCAGTGAGATAGTTTTATTAAGCCTTTGCGAACACAATACAACTGCTGGTTATCATTTCTGCTCCTGCAAGGATAAACCTGGGAAAGGATCTAGACCACACCTGGCAGGCTTATGCCTGGTTCTGTGCTCAAGGATTATTCCTGGTGATGCTAGGGGACCATATGTGGCACTGGGGATCAAATTACACTTGGCCATGTGCAAGTCAAGTGTCCTAACTCATTATCTCTGTGTTCTTCCTACACACTATACTTTTCCTAAAACTAGTAAGCATAATTAAAAAAAAAAACATTTCTGAGTGTGAAACTGCAAAAGCAAGTAAATTTTGAAGAGGGAAGAATAAATGGATAGATATGATCTTTATGGATAGTTATTCTACTCAACTGGAAGGTTTAAAATGAAGATATAACTCTAAAAGAAATACGAAGTACACAAACTTTGCTAGGGCACAGAAGTAATAGTCAATCAAATACATGTAACAAAATATAAATTAGGACTAATGATTTTTACTTATTCATATGACAAGGACAAAGAGACCAACAAATTATTTAAAAGATTTTGTCTCACTTTTTAATGTTTTAGCTAGTAGTGAGCAAAATGTACCACAGAATTATTAAATTCAAAGATGCTTAAATGCTCACTGTGAATTAAATCATCATCTATTATACTGACAGTAAGGAATTATCAAAATGTCAAGTGTCAAGTAAACATAGTAAATTAAAGTTACAATTCAAATGGGGCAACTTTGAGAATTATCTGTATGAGGAGAAAGATCTGTTAAGTATACATGGGCAGGAGAGAAGGGGCAAATGGGAGTCTGCTGAAGCAAGAAGGAGGGAAAGAAGACCAGGGAGCCAGGTAGAAGGGAAGCACTCGCCTCGCTAACTGCCCCTGGGACATCTGTGCAAAGGGACTTTCTGATATAAGCCACTTCCCAGATGGCAAAATACTCAACTGGATAAAAGACCCTGAAACGCCCTTGACAAAGGAAAGACTGTTGGATTACAGGCAGAAGCCCTATGAAAACAGATCTTCCCAGGGCCATTCGCCCTAGTCTCGAGTTTAGCTGGTTCGGAATGTCGGAATGTCATTAACATAGATGACTGCTGTCTCTTTTTTTACCTGTGTTCTTTTTTCAAATGCAATTTATCACTGGATTTTTTTTCTTTTTCTGTGCATTCAATTTATATATATGTCATTTTTATTTGTCATATTTAATTCTGCATAAAGCCCCCTTTAAGACCTATTTATTTTTTCAATCAACACTTTTTTTTTGCTAAAGTATCATAATTTACAAAGTTATTCATAGTTGAGTCTTAAGATCTTGTAGCACAATCCCTCCACAGTGTCAACTCCCCACCACCAGTGTTCCTGACCCCTCCATGTACCAATTGCCCCCAGCCTGCCTCTTAACAGGCACTTTCTAAGATCAGTTGTTAAAGTTTGGGTCCCTTGGTTTAAGTGTTGCTGACTCCACGGTCTGGACATCTGGCTCTATCATTAACATCAGCTCTGTACCTTAATCCTGACCTGGCCCCTGTTGCTGCTCACTTATCTCACCCACTCCCCCTCAGTTTTTCTTTCCTTCTCCCTGTGCTCTGGGGCCAATGCAGGTGTCAGTCCTCCAGGCAACCATGGTCTGAAAATATTATACACAAGATATTTGAAAAAAAAAATCACATTGGCATGACTTTTATTATTACAAGATAAACATGATGGTTCTACTTTATTATGAGTGAAATCAACCTCTTTCTGTAATTTATAGCCATAACTTTATTATTATTAGGTATATACAGGGAAAAACAGTGAAGGTTTGGTCCTATTTAGTTTCAGGAATCCATTGATGGCCTTGGAAACACATAAACCACAGAGAAGGAGGAATGACAGTATATTTGCAATGGTGTATACATGTAATTGAGTAAACATGTATGCACCGAAGGACAATGCTGGAATTAAAATCATCAAGGGAAATTAATTTTAAACAAGACATAAGGAAATCAGCATTTTTACAAGCTGCTCATCTGAAGAAAATTGGTAAAAGGTGTTTGAGCTACAAAAATACTGAAGTGCATGTAAAGACATATGTGTAAAGAGAATGAAAAGAATGTGAAGAATCCAGATTTCCAAACATAAAAAGCTGGTTAAAAGATGCAATGATATTACAGTATTTGGCCACTAAGGTTAATGCTGAAAGAATGGGAGTCTAATACCCAAGGATAATAGAGATAAGGGCCAGGAGGATCATTCCATGGCTTGGAAGCGGGTCTCAGATGCTGGGGGTAAAAGGCAGCTGGGATAAAGAAGGGACCATTAAGTAAATGACGCTCAGAGGGCTCGCTTGGGATGGGAGATGCATGTGAAAGTAGATTATAGACTGAACATGATGGCCACTTACTACCTGTATTCAAACCAGGACACTCAAAAGGAGAGAGAATAAAAGGGAATGTGCCTGCCACAGAGGCAGGGGGAGGATGTGACGGGGATGGCGGGAGGGATACTGGGGACATTGGTGGTGGAGAATGGGCACTGGTGGAGGGATGGGTACTCGATCACTGAATGGCTAAAATGTAATCACGAAAATTTGTAAGTTCGTAACTGTATCTCATGGTGATTCATTAAAAAATATAAAAAACAAATTTTCTGGGGAAACAGAAAGATTAAGGCTTTACTGATAGCAAAGAAGTTCTTGACAAAAGAAAATTATTTTGAAAAAAGTGAAAAAATGCAAGTTTTGTTGACTTTATTTATATAAAAATACATTTACTATATATGTATAGATAATATATATTTAAGAGTAAATTCATATCCACATAAGACAAAAAGGTTCTTCCCTTATAAAATTATTTTAGAAATTCTATAAAACATTGAAATGGTCTTGGCCTTTATTAATCACACCGGATTTTTTTGGTTATGTCTACTTTTTCTAATTTTATAATATAAACTTTTATAGTAATAGTAAGAAAAACCTTTCCTACAACAGTGATCCATTTTCTTTTTTATTTATTTTTGTAGGAGTACTGCTACTGAGTACGTGCCTCAGGCAACCACAAGCAAACGTCCGAACTGGCAAAACAGTGCTGAAAAGCCATCAAGGATGACCTCAAAAACAGGAGAGCAGCAGTACTGGTAGATGCAGCAGAAGCTGGGAAAAACATTCGTAATGCCCGCCTGTCCTTCACCAACTACAAAACCAAGATGACTGCCCTCCGACATCATGATGGATCTATCACATCTTCCAGAAGGGCAATGGAGAAGATTATTCATGAATTCTACTCAGATCTCTTTAATAGCCACATCCACTTGCCCACATACCACATACCACATGATGGATATGTCGTTCCCAATGTTCTCCCTTCCGAAATCCAACATGCCATCTCGTCGGTAAAGAAACAAAAAGCACCTGGCCCAGACAAGATCAGACCTGAACACCTGAAGAACTTACCATCAGTACTCATCAATACATTAGCTCGACTCTTCACACGCTACCTGTCTGAATGCAAGGTTCCATCCCAATGGAAAACCAGCAAGACTGTACTACTATACAAGAAAGGAGACATCCACGACATTGGCAACTATCGCCCAATCTGCCTATTGTCTGTCATCTACAAACTATTCACTCGAGTCATCCTGAATAGGATTAGCAGAACACTAGATGAAGGACAACCATGTGAACAAGCTGGATTCCGAAAAGGATTCAGTACCATCGACCATATCCACACAATAACCAAGCTCATTGAGGTATCTCGGGAGTTCAAGATGCCGCTCTGTCTAACGTTCATTGATTTAAAGAAGGCCTTTGATTCTGTTGAGACGGAAGCGGTCATGGAAGCCCTAGCCAATCAGGGCGTACAAACTCAATACATCAGGATCCTTCGTGAGCTCTATTGCGGATTCACTACCAAGATCTCACCATTCTACAAAGAAGTAATCATCCATATCAAGAGAGGGGTTCGGCAGGGTGATACCATTTCACCAAAACTCTTCAGTGCCACCCTCGAGAACATCATGCGACGACTAGAATGGGAAAACATGGGAGTGAAGATAGATGGTCGGCAACTACACCACCTCCGCTTTGCTGATGACATCGTTCTAATAACACCAAACATCAGCCAAGATGCACAAATGCTTGCGGACTTTGACCGTGAGTGTGGAAAGGTTGGACTACAGCTGAATCTTACAAAGACAATGTTTATGAGAAACAGCCTTGTTCCTGACGCTCCATTCGCTCTCAACGGAACCACCATCTCCGAATGCAACAGTTATATATACTTAGGTCGAGAAATCAACATGATGAATGACCTGGCACCTGAGTTACGCAGGAGGAAGAGAGCGGCTTGGAATGCCTTCAAGAGCATTGAAGAAATAACTAAAAGGACAAAGAACCTCCAACTACGAGCACATCTCTTTGATTCCACTATTCTTCCTGCATTAACATATGCCTCAGAGACCTGGACCCTACGAAAACAGGATGAGAACACTATTCGGGTCTCTCAAAGAGGAATCGAAAGAACTATGCTTGGAATATCACGATTCACTCAAATGAGAGATAGAATCCGGAGTTCTGATCTTCGTCAACGCTCAAGAATCAGAGACGCTGTCTCATTTGCCAAGACATCAAAAATCAGATGGGCTGGACATGTAATGAGGTTTACAGACAACCGCTGGACTAGAGCCATTACTGATTGGATTCCACGAGACATCAAAAGATCACGTGGACGCCCACCTATAAGATGGTCAGACTTCTTCGTCAAGACCCTAAATGATCGGTTTGAGGCTCTACATGTTCCTAAAACGAACAGATACCATTGGGCTACGCTAGCACGCAACCGGGATGAATGGAGACGTTACTGGCACCCGCTCGAATAAATCGATGAATAACGGGGATTAAGTGATTAAGTGATTAAGTGACTGCTATTTACTCAGCCACTGATTAGCTGATTGAATTGTGCAGAACTCCACCTTACTTTTTTTTTCCATTTTTTACAATTTTATTTATTGAATCACCGTGAGAGCAGTTACAAAGCTTTTGGGTCTAAGTCTCAGTCATACAATGAAACACCCGTACCTTCACCAGTGCCCATTCTCCACCACCAAAAATCCCAGTATACCCCCATCCCACACCCTCCCCCTGCCTGTGGGGCAGATGATTTCCACATTACTCTCTCTCTACTTTGAAGTGATCCATTTTCTTAATTTGCCACCATCAACTGGGGCTAAATTATTTAGAGTTGAGATCTTGTATGCAATTTCAGGTGAGTCCATGAAAAAAATTTCTATGGGGTAATATTTAAGGAGTGTGCTATTGGACTCCATACAGCAAATGATATGAGAAACCCCCTACATTTCTAAATCTATAAACAAGAAAACAAATCATACAACTTTATGAAGCTATGTCATAACGTTATAACTATTATCACATTAAGAAAATTATAATACCAGGGGCTGGAGCGATAGTACAGCGGGTAGGGCATTTGCCTTGCATGAGGCCGACCAGGGTTGGATTCTCAGCATCCCATATGGTCCCTGCGAGCACCACCAGGAATAATTCCTGAGTGCAGAGCCAGGAGTAACCCCTGTGCATTGCCAGGTGTGACCCAAAATAAAGCAAAAAAACTTGACAAAAAAAAAAAACAACACAGAAAAATATAATACCAAATTTTTCCTTTAGATATTCTTATATACTACCATATAAAAATGACTTTTTCTTAAATTTTGATTTTTTGGCCTTTTTGAGTCACACCCAGCAATTTCAAGGGTGTGATTGCACTCCTTGTGGTAAATGAGGGACCATATGGAATGCCGGGGATCAAACCCAGTTTGGCTACATACAAGACAAATGCCTTACCTGCTGTACTATTTATTGCTCCGGCCCCATGAATGACCAGGGTATGTACTTTCACAAGGACCTAGACTAGTTAATAGGTGCAGAGATAATGGCCAGGAGAGAGTATGAGTACAGGGGTTAAGGCACATGCCTTCTATCTGGCTGATCTTGTTCCCAGCAAGGCATGATTTCCTCCTGAGAAACACCAAGAAAAACTCCTGGATATACCAGATATGCTCCACCACCACTGCCCCTTGTCCTCGAAAAGGCAAAAATGTCAATTCTATCACAGCACAAATTCCTATTATAATGTAAATTAAATTAACTGCTAAAATAACTTTTAAGAACCTCTCAGTTCCCACACATTTTCACAGCAAATAGCTCATAAGTGCCCAATAAAACTTACGTGATTTATTTCATCCTTTTTTCAACTGTCTTCCTAGTTAGTAGAGAATTTAAATCTTAAAAATTGGAATCACAAACTATCAGATATGATCACTTGTAAGATCAGCAATACATTTAAATGCAATTCATAATTATTTGTCATATTAAAGTTATGGGTTTGGGGCCAGAGTACAGTGGGTAGGGAGTTTGTCTGGCAAGAGGCTGATCCACGTTCTACCCCGGCATCCCATACAGTCCCCTGGGCCCACCAGGAGTGACTCCTGTGTGCAGAGGAAGCCCTGAGCATTGCCGGATATGGCCCAAAGACAAAACAAAAAAAGTTATGGCTTTTGTAGAGACACGAAAAGAAACTACCCTTTATCTACTGATAGAAATTTTAAAAGTCTGTGTCAATATAAGAAAGTTACTTACCTGAGGAATAACAATATCTGCCAGGGCTTTGGAAAGCCTATATAATTCCATTGTGTTTTCTAATTTCAAAGAACTATTATGTTGAACATCGTATTTTATACAATCATATATATCAGGGATTTTGCTGATGTCATATCTTCCATTCTTTGTTTTAAAATCCTTCTCCAACTTGGACCATCTGCGTAGCATAAGCTCTAATGTTTCACTATGGTAAAGCTGAATATCTAAAACAACATAACACTATTAGTATATTCACTTTAAAAATGAGACTAGGAGACATATTAGAAAGCAATAAATAGAAACATTTTTAAATGTGAAAGGTAAGATTGTTAAGGAGATGTAACTAAATGCATATACTATTAGCAATCATATGCTCTGCAGATTTGATTCAAGGTACAAATACATGAATTAGTGAATTAGGCTGATAAACTTAGAAACGTTGCCTATGTTACATACTACTAATAATAATCATAATAATAAAGAACAATTAGGGTCAGAGGCCAGAGCAATTGTATAGGGGTTTAGGCGCTTGCCTTGTACATGGCCGAGCTGGGTCCAACCCATGGCACCACACTGTGTCCTTCGAGCCCCACCAGGAGTGATCCTGAGCACAGAGCCAGGAATAAGCCCTGAGCACACCTGGGTGTGGCCCCAAAACCAAGAACAAACAAACCAATTATAACAAAAAATTTACACAAATATATTTTCAATTCTGATTATGAAACACTCATATGTCCTCATTTTTAGGGCTTTTGTTTGTCTGAGGGTCTCAGCCAACGGTGCTCTAGCAGCTACCACCTTCACCAGCACTGCCAAGGATCAAATCTCCCAAATGAAAAACACATATTCTAGCTTTCTGAGCCACTTCCTCAGCCTCCAACACATTATTTTTAATCAACAGATACTCGTTTTAGCAGAAAAGGATTTCTATTTAACAGGAAGATGTTCAGGATGCCAAAATTGTTAATGCTGATCTTAAAGTTGAATACCAATTCTTGTTACCATTAGCTCCTTCTTGCTATGTTGCATTAGTTGCTTAACTATAAAGCAATACTGCACAATCAAATAACAATGTTTTATTACCTCTTTTATGTGATTGCAAATAAACTACAGTAACTATAACTCTTCTGTTGCATATATGTTAATTGACATCATGCCTACATATTTATGAGAAGATAGATTTCTTAAGACTTGCCATCTTACTTTAAAATGTTTAAAGTTATTGGATAGTAACTTTACTGTTCTAAAAACAAAAACCCAACCAGACAGCATTTACCTGAGGATTTAGGGTCTTCCATCCGATGTCTGATCTGAGATGTCAAACTTTGTATGAGAGAATAAACTTTGTCACAGGTCTCCACGGGGTTCTTAATCAAATGCATCGATTTTATAAGGGAAATGCTTCCAGAAGGAGTAAGCTACAAACAAGTGACATATGTACTTTATATGTAGTTCTGCCCAATTGTTTGAGAGTACCATCTAAACCAATTATTCTAGTAGCAGGAGAATTAATTCACATTCCACAAATTAAGATGGAATGAAAGAAAGGGTGGTAAGGAATAAATCTCAAGGCTGGAGCAATAGTACAATGGTTAAGGGTGCTTGCCAGGCATGCGGCTGACCCAGGGTATATCACCGGCATCCCATACGGTTCACCACATACTGCCACCACATACTGCCTAGGAGAAGAGGCAGGAATAGCCCTGAGTATCACTGTGTGGACCAAAAACCAAACCAAACCAAAACAAAAAAGAGGCAAAATCTTAGCAATTCCTGCTGCTGAACAAACATTACTCCAGAGGCAGGGAAGATACAGAGCAGCGCCCATGCTGTCCAGCGCAGCCTGCCAGGCCCCTGCAGCTTGAGTGGAGCAGCAAATAAGGCCAAGCACAGACCCACCGTCCTGGCTGGCCGGGGACGGCGAGGAGTGCCCTGGGACCCTGGAACCTTGCCTCAGAGCTCCCTCTACCCCCAAACACTAAGCCTAAGTGATCACTAAATTACTCACAGAGGAAAAAAATGGGCAAAAGTATAGGAGCAATAAGATCAGATGGTGATTTACTGACTGCAATTTGTGCAAATATGGTTCTTAACTCTTGGCAGTGAACACTGTTTTGAAGAATTATTTGTATCTAATAATCCTGACTATTTTTTCTTTTATTGAGTGGGGTGGAAACTTGTACCACCCTTGACAGTACTCGAGGAGATCCAAACTGGACTGGTCCCATGCAAGACAACAGCCTTAACCCCTGTACTAATTCTCTGGCCTCAAGCCTACAATATACTTTCTTCCCTTTTTTCTAAAATGGGGTACTTGTGAGGTAAGCAACCTGCCCAAGATCAAATCACCAGGATGTGAAGACATAGACAAGAACGAAAGTTAAAACAGTCAATTAGTACTAAAAACTAAATGAAAACAATAAGAGAAAACTAATAATGAAACCGTGGCATTGAAAATAGAGACAACCTGGGTGTGGGGAGAGACATGACTCGCATCTGCGAGGTCCTGGGTTTGATCCCCATCATAGCTGGATCCCACAGCAGCACTGGGCGCTGCTCTCACCCCCAGAACCACTGGGTCAGACAGCTGCAGATGGTAATGAATCTTGGCACCAAAACATCAGAACCACACAGCCAAGTTGAGTGGGACAGAGGATGGCTCTCAGGCCTCTAAATACAACCTGAGATCTGCCACCCCCAACGTCCTGCCAAAAAAACTGAATAAATAAAATACACACAGATAAAAATAAAACAATCTTAACAGCATAATGTTGCAAACTGGGTCAACAGTACAACGGTTTTAATCTAAACCTGTGATTCATGAACCAGCAGCTCTGGCATGAACTGGACTAAAATTGTACTATGACTCCGAGCCTTCATCTCGTATTTGATTAATCAGAATCTAAGGCCAGTACCACCTTGAAAGAACTCTTCCATAGTCTTTGTTTGTTTTTTGGATCACACCCAGAGATGCACCAGGGTCACTCCTGGTTCTGCACTCAGGAATTACTCCTGGCGGTGCTCAGGGGACCATATGGGATGCTGGGAACCGAACCCGGGTCAGCCATGTGCAAGGCAAACGCACTACCCACTGTGCTATCACTCCAGCCCCTCTTATGGAATCCTGCACCGACCAGGGACCAACTGTGCCATCGCACACCTGACAATGCACAGAGATTCACATATTCTGGCTCTAATAAGATAACAAAAGACCAATGTGCAAAACACAGGTCCGCAGCTGTTGCAAGGCAGGGCACACACGGGCTGCAGGATCAATGGGCTCAGGAGGACGCTTCACATGCTGCCCAGTGCAATTACTCACCTTCTCGTAGTCTTCAGCACTGAAATCCCTGTCTTTCTGCAGGATTTCATGAAGCCGCGCCTTCACTCGCTGCTGACAGCTGCTCAGCGAGTCACTGTCACTGTCCAAGAGGCCATTCATGTTGGCACTCTTGACCATCTGGACAAGGATGGGCGTCAGCTCGCCTTCAAGTGCCAGGAGCCCCTACAAGCCATAAATAAAAGTCAACACAGATGTCAAGCTCAGTAGGCCACATAATGAGAAGGGGACAAATTACTCTCATTCCACACAGAATTTTCTAAGAGACTGACAATCAATTTAGTGATAATCCAGCTTTTTCATGCCTTTCCGGGACTTCAACTGAAGATTCAGATTTGGGATTATCAGATACTGCCTGGGCACAAAATCATTTTCAAGGCCCCACTTAATGGGAAGTCTAGTAATTGTAAGAAATGTTGGCATCTACCTTGGCGAAGGCAGCTGCAGTCATCTGGACGCGTCCCTCGTCAGAGGCGTAGATTTTAAGGTCATGCCGGTAAGTGCTGTGTAACCTAAGTAAACCACAACCAGGAAATCCTGCATAATCTCCTGAAAAAAAATCCTCCAATCACTTAAGCTATATTTTTAGCTCACTGCATTTCTCTAAAGAATATGACATCCCCCAAGTGAACCAGAAGTCAGAAAACACAAGGTAGGAAGTGCAGCAATGAAGGGCATGCCCGAGATTTACCTTGGCCTCCAGGGTACATGCACCTGAACGCTCTCCCCAGCTCCTCCGCCTGCACCCGGCCTGCAGGGGTCAGCTCACCTCCCCACTTCAGAACCAACAGTAAGGACGGTTCTTCTCTCCGGCTGTCTAAAAGACATGTGGAGATAGAAAACAAATTTCAGACTTTTTTAAAAAAAGGACCTTTGATTTTCCCCTCTGCTCTGTACTGAGTGGAATTCTGGCTATGCTTGTTCTTAAACAGACCTCACTTTGTAGGCCTCTGTTTTGCGTCAGGGCAATCCCCTACTCCACCCTCTTAGAAAAATCTTACTAGTGCTCCAAACCCTTTTCTATACTTTATGAGAAGGCTTTTTCTCACTTTCCTGAACCACTGCTTTCCCCTTCTCTGTTCCAACAGAGGTCTTCCCAAGGCCTTTCACTCAGTTATGTTAGATATGAGCAATTAAGATCTCCTTAGTGACTCATTCCAGATCCTTCTTTATTGAAGAGTGTCCTGCAGAGCTGATGTATAAAAGGTACCAACTGCTGATGAAGCTACACTGTTTATGACGCTGAATCAGAAGTTACATTAACTCATGAGACAATGAAAGAAAGGCAGAGCCTAATATTTTTATTAATTTATTGGTAACATTATACAATAAAATGCAATCCAAGAACATCTTTTTAAATTGGAACTATGAATCTGTGTGATGTAGACCAATAAGTTATCTCAGATATAGGAGGAACACCACAGCAATGAGTTTCATGCTTAATTTAGGCCTATCCTTATTCACCTCCTAAAAGCTACATTAGGTTTTTTGAAAAATAAATAAATAGATAGATAAATAATCTGAAAATAAATAAATTCTGAAAAACCTAAAGACAATACATTAGTCATAGGCAAATCATTCTTCCTGTTGGAGTTTGTCAGTATTTACCACATGAAACAATATTAATTTAAGGACTTTTATAATAAGCCGGGCTGGGTGTATTTATAAAATGTCTCTAGCGATAAATAATAAGATATACCTTATTTGTCTCAAGTAAACCACAGTCTGATGAGCAAACATGTCAAATTTTATAGAAAGATAGTAGTGTTTAGCAGTACCTTGTATACAGTGGACCAGGGTTTGATCCCCGCATTCTGTATGATCCTCCGAGCACTGCCAGGAGTAATTCCTGGGTGCAGACCTAGAATAACCCCTGAACATCACTGGGTGTGATTGAAAACCCAAATAAAAAACCAATTTTTCTTAATGTTAAATTTTAAAACAGTGAAAAAAATGCATACTAGCATTATTACTCTCATCAATTTGAAGGTAAGAAAACACTTTTCACAGTGATCAGCATCAATGACATTACTACTATTAGCATTATTTATTAAGGACACGTGTTTTACATGAAATGGTTTCTTTGAACCCCTGTAGATTTTCACTTTGAAAAAGAAATGCACTTATTTACTTCTGTGCTGACTGTTCATTAACACTGATGCTATTTCAAATGCTTATTCTGATTATTGGGTGGGGGAAAATATCTACCTTAGAATCACACTGTGCTTCATCAAATAATCTGTTTATATTTATTGAGTTTCTTCCAATATACTCTGTTCTCTTCTACTGAGAGGAAGACTAAAGCTCGTTAAAAAAGCAGTTAGTTAAAAATACGTAAACTTTTAGAAGCAACTCCAGAGTAAAGGGTAGAGTTTTCAAAAGAATAAGAACTTTAAAAAATAAAGAACAAAGCCTCTTACTAAGGAACAGAGGCACAATGGATAAAACGCCACTCTATTTTCCCTTCATTCCTCACAGGGGGAGCTGCAGAAAGAGTGGGGAGGCGCTGGCTGGCACTAGGCTGCCCTGGACTCCATCTCGCACTGCAGCCATCCCTAGCCCTGAGCACGGCCAGGCAGGGCACACATACACAGAAAAGTAAGAAAAAATATTTACTATGCCAGTCCCTGAGTGATCAGAAGAGAGCTTAAAGGTAATAAAAAGAGCAGTAAACCGGAACGTATGATTAACATACGATACTTGACATCATTAATAACATACCCTCCTCTTCACTGGATGTTTTAGGACAACCGTGAGGGAGATAAGTTAACTGGACCTTACGATTTATTCCAGAAAAATGGCCATACCTGAAAAATAAAATGGCAAAAAATGGAAAATAATTCAGTAAGTGTTCCATGTGATCTCCAGGAAACAAAGCCTAAAATTCATATAGAGAATAAAATTAACTCTTACACAGAAAAGCCTCTTCTATTAATTAGTAGTTACTCTGTTCAAATATTTTTCAAAATATTTTAACAGGAAATCTGTATCAGGAAATCTGTATCATTAAGTCATCCTAACCACACTAAAAATAAAACTACAGAAACATTTCACTAAAGAAATGAGACACTTTAAGGTATTATAGAAGTTACACAGGATCAGGCATTACAGTATGTAAAGACACATAAATGTGTCTAAAAACCAAAGAAAAGATTTCAAGATGTCAAAGATCTAAGATGTCAAACATGGAACATGAGACCTTAATCCTCAATAGTATATCACAGAATATCTGAACTTGATGTTCTATTTTGAGCTTAAAGTTAATGTAAAACTAAAATAGTAACTGTGAATACAACAGTTTTCTCACCACTAGAAATAAAAATCGCATTAGATTTTTAATTTCTCCTCAGTTACAGTGATTAAGAGCAGAAAGACAAAAGAAGAAAATAATGCAGAAAAAATGTATATAAATAGCATTACAAGTAGTTATCGAAACTATGTGTTTTAAAAGTGAACTCACATCTCTAACACAGTCTTAAGCTGTTCAAGTTTTGACTTGTTTTCTTCAATCTCAGAATCATTATTTTGTCCAAGTTCCATAAGAAGTTGGCGTGCAATATCCAGCACTTCCTACAAAGTGAATAAAGAATTGAATTTTTATGTAACTTTATCATTAGAGATTTAAAACTCAACAAGAAATCAAATGCACTTGCCTGTAACTGTTTGGGTTTTTTGAGTTTTAATTTTCCAGATTTATATCCATCACACTTTTCAAAAAGATCAAAGAATCTTATAAAAAAAAAAACATTGCACTATTAGTAATTTGCAATACTTAGGATTACTGCCATATACTTAAATCAACTTGATAAATTCTGAGACTACTAGATATGCAACAACACTAAATAAAAGATATGGGAAAACCTGGGGTGTTTTGAATTTCAAATACTTTTCATTTTGCAATAGCACAGCGGTAGGGCGTTTGCCTTGCACGCAGCCAACATGGTCGACTCGAGTTCGATTCCTCCACCCCTCTCAGAGAGCCCGGCAAGCTACCGAGAGTATCTCGCCCACACGGCAGATCCTGGCCAGCTCCCCGTGACGTATTCGATATGCCAGACACAGTAACAACAAAATCTCTAATGGAGACGTTACTGGGCCCACTCGAGCAAATCGATGATCAACGGGAGGGCCTTTACCTTTACTATATCATGTTGCTTGTCTAGTTTGACGGAAAAAAATTATTTCCTAGGGCATATCAATAACCACTTGGTGATTTTCAAGTTTCTCCATCATATAGAAATTGAATATATGATTTAATTACAAAGAATGTATCTTCTCTCAAGTTAATGGGTACACAATAAGGAAATCTGTTTCAACACATTTAATGTTGTACTAAGTTTTCAAATTCTATCATCCCCCAATCAAATACTGAATAGAAATTTTATACATCTTTATCTATAAATTTTCTACTAAAAGCCTAAGTGGATAAAAAACACTCAGAAAACAAAATGAGATAGTATGCCAAGTTCAATAGAAGACCTTGATAGTAGTGAATAAGAGCCAGGCAAAGTTGATGATGATTTATCAATATTGCCACAATAACTTTCAGATGCCAATCTCTCTCTCTCTATATATATATATATATCACAGTCCTCCCGTTATTCATCGATTTGCTCAAGCGGGCCCAGTAACACCTCCATCATGAGACTTGTTGTTACTGTGTTTGGCATATCGAATTCGTCACAGGGAGCTTGCCAGGCTCTGCCATGCGGGCGAGATACTCTCGGTAGCTTGCGGGGCTCTCCGAGAGGGGCAGAGGAATTGAACTCGGGTCGGCCATGTTGGCTGCGTGCAAGGCAAACGCCCTACCCACTGTGCTATCGCTCCAGCCCTAATCTCTCTATATATAGAAAAATAAATAAAACACAATTTTCTTTAGTGGATTCTTTTGAACCCACAATTAAATATCAGTATCAAGCAACACAAAAAGATTTTCAATATAACACATTAACTGAAATAGCTAAAGCAACACAAAAAGATTTTCAATATAACACATTAACTGAAATAGCTAATCTATCAGAAATCTTAAATTATCTCCTAAATACATTAATCATTCCTCTAACACATACTTTTGATGCCTCACTTCCATTTTCATTTTCTGCTTCGGTGTCCGATCCCCATGACGTATGACTGCTATAACACATCTAAGCTCCATCCTAGAATTTACAAAGAATATGCTTTCAGTTTTTATTTGTAAAGAATTATTCGTATTACTACATTTAATTATGTAATTTTTTCTTTGGATGCATCTGTTACCATGTTTAAGAACCTATAAAGAACAGCAATTGTAATGACTCTTAATTTACAAATCAAATTCTAAAAGAAAAAACTAATGTATCAAAGAAATTAGATATTAAGATACCTCTATAAATATTTGCTCTATTATATATTTATAATAATATGTATTTGTTCTCTCTCTATAAATGACATTAACTCTGCACAGAAGTAAATAGACTGCAAATCCGGAATATCATTCTAATATGTCTTGCACCATAAATCTGAAGATGTTATTAAATCCAAAAAAACTAGATCTTTAAGTTAAAAGTAAGAGGTGTAATTTAGTGTTGACCAAACTGAACCTTAGAACACAGCCCTGCAGGACTTTGGCAAGTTGCTGAAAAAAAAAAAATCCTTCGAAATAAGTTTGAAAATGCCTATTTAAGAACAAAATTAGGGGCTGGGGATAGCACAGGGTCAGTGGCAAAAGCTCTTCAAGCGAGAGGCCCTGGGTAAGCCCCCAGCGCTGCTGAACTGAGCACTGCTGGGCGTGGACCTGGACATCCCAGACATCAGAGCCTGAGTTTGAATCCCACCACATCCGCAGGCTGAAGCACTAAATCCATAATGTTATTTGATTATAAAATAAAATGAAATCAGTCTTCACCGAGGCAACTCAGAGGGGGGTAGGTTGAGTTTCCCTCCCTGCCCCAAGAAGAACCCTGGCTGCCCAAAACCTCCAGAACTCCACCAGAATAGCCACACTCAATGCCGCTCTCCACAAGCTCGAGCAAGCCTCACCTATAAGGGAACCTCCAGAAAAACCCAGGTATGCAGGACCTGTGACTGAGATCTCCATGCTCACTGGGAATGGGCCTCCTCCCCCCAGCTCCCCAGTTTTCCAGTAGCTCGGCAGTCATACCCACAAACTGCCCCAAGCGCCATATAATCTCATCAAGAGCCAAGATCCAGAGACTCTGAAATAAAGCTCCCAGAAGAGAGCGACACAGAAGTTTCTGGAAGACGCAACTTGGGCCTCTTACACTCTAGCCCAGTGATGTACCGAAAGTAGCACACATCTGTTTGGGGTTAACATACATGCTTGTAATCACTTATATAAGGGTTTAAATGGCTCCAAGATGAAATACAATCTTCACACACTTTTCTCTTATGGTGGTGAGAAGGTGCACGGTGGTGGGATTGGTATTTGAATATTATTTGCAATGATCTATTGTGAACAACTTTATAAAAACAAAATAATATTAAAAAAATAAAATAAAATCTTGCTACTTGTGCCAATATGAACAGATCTTTAGGGCATTATGCTAACTGAAAAGTCCCACAGGAAAACTAATGCCAAGTTATATTGTAGAGTCTTGGGGGGGTGGGGAGAACGCAAAAAATAAACAAAACCCAACACTCCCCCCCCCCCAAAAAATATCAAATTTACAGACACAAAAAAACAAGATTTGTGGCAGCAAAAGCAGTGGGGATAAAATTGGTGAAGGTGTCCAAAGGTGTAAATTTCCAGTTATAAATATATCATTGTACAACATGACAGCTACAGTTAATACCATTTTACTGCCTATTTGCAACTTTTATAGAATAATCCTTAAGTTTTTATTACAAAGAAAAGAATTTTCTAACAATAAGCGATGTTAGTTGAGTTTAACTCTTACAATCATCTTAGAACATACACAAATATCACACCATTATGCTAGATAGCTGAAAGAAGCAGATAATATTTGTTATCCATTATACCTCAACAAAAACAAAAAGCAAAAAAAAAAAAAAAACTTATAAAAGAGCACAAACTATTAGAGAAATCCAGATAGTTTTTATGAAAGTAATCAAACCTACATAGTTCCTGATGTGGTTGGCACAATTGGGATATCTTCAGCTTCCAAAGGAATTGACCAGGGGATATGAAACTGTGGGGCAAGCTCTCGCATCACAATGTTGCTGGAAGACAAAAAGAAGAAAAAAAGTGCAAATGAGTTTATGACAAGGGATGAAGAATTACGGGACTTAAACTAATGTTGTGAGCACATAAAATTAACCCACCAAAATCAATCTTGATTCAGAAAAATTATAATAGCAACTGATGATTTAGAACCCACTAATGGAATGCCATAAACATGGAATAGGTTTCCAAAATATGAATCACAGTAAATTCAAATAAATCACCATAATTGCATCATGACATACATTCTGAAACCCAGTACTGTCTCTCAGTGTGGCCACTATTAATTTCTTTCCACCTTACCGCATACCTACTGAAAGCTCCTCTAAATTGTTCATTTAAAAAAAAAAAAATCTTTGCTATATTTTTACTCAGAACAATATAAAGACGTTTACATAATTCCATACATCTTCCTCTATCAATTTTCATTTTTTTCTTGTTAAATTTTCCATTTATTCAAGTTGTAGTTTTTAAAAATTTGGACAGTTTTTTATTAAATACTATTGCTGATATCATAGAAGCCTACCAATCGGACTAACAAAAACACTAACACAGAAGGCTTAACTTGCAACAACAGCTTAGTAAAACCTCAGACAAGGACTTAACGTCCCCCATGGTAAAATGCAACACTTTCCGGAAATTTTCTTTTACTGAAATTCTTTTTGTTTCACTAACTAGGGGTAACAAGCAATATAAAATCAATTACTATCACCCTGTTATGGGGGCAGGCCTGAAGGGTGATTGGGAAAATGGAGACAATGGTGGAGCGATGGTGACTAGACTGGTGGTAGGGCTGTTGCTAGAATGCTGAATGCTGTAAAGGAGCATCACGAACAGCTTAACGGCGGAGATACGATGACAGTGGCGATGGGACAGGCGCTAGAATACTGAACGCTATGAAAAGCCATCATGAACAACTCTGTAAACCTCAGCATTTAAATGAAATGGGGGAGAACAATAAAAGAAAACAACATTAAAGATAGGGTTTCACACGACACAATCCAACACCACTCCCACCACCAAAGTGTCCTCTCTCTTCCACCTCTGTCCCAGTGAACAGCCCCCATGATTATCCCAACTGCACGGTAGGTTTTTGACTGAAGGCCAGTTCTCAGTTTTTTCTGCTCTTGTCATGTCATTCTGCTACCACGTTTCTCTATATCCCACACCTGAGAGAGATCATTCTCTATTGGCCCCTCCCTGACCGGCTTCACTCAGCAGAATACTCTCCAGGCCCATAAGGGTAAATTGAGTGCCCTCATCTCTTCTTATAGCTGCGTCGTACTCCGTCATATATAGTACCACAGGTTCTGTATCCAGTTATCTGTTCTTCAGTACTTGGGCTGTTCCCAGATTTGGGATACTGTGAATAGTGCTGATAATGAATATCAGAGTGCAGATGTTTTTTCTGAGTAGAGATGTGGGCCCTGAGGATAGATGCCAAGAAGAGGATTACCCAAGTCAGACAGAAGCTCAATACGTTGTCTGAGGAATGTCCATGTTAATTCTCAGAAAAACTGAAGATCCAACATTACTGCTAGCAGTGAGGGAGGGTTGTCTTCCTTCACATCCACGTCAATGCTGGTTGTTTCTGTTCTTTGTGGTATGTGCTGATCTTAAGGGTGTAAGATGATATCTCTCTGCTTTTCTGATTTGCATTTCCCCAATAATGTGATGTGGAGCATTGTTTCATATTCCTTTTGGCGATCTGTATGTCTTCATTGAGGATGTTTTTGTTCATCTCATCAACCTTGATGCGATCAATTTTTTTCCCTTTGAAAGAGTTCAACAGTCCTTTATATATCTTGGGTACAAACCCCTTATCAGATGTGTGGTAGAACATTTTGTCCTAGTCTGTGAGGTTAAGCTTTTTATTCTGGTCATTTCATTCTTCTTATTATTTTAAATTAACAGCCTTTAATTAATAGCCTCAAACAGCCAAGGGTTGACATCAAAAGCAAACAGCCCAAGTATGATGCATGGACAGAGAAAAGCTTCCTGTTCTCAGAGTATGCCTTCTTATTTTTGGTGAGCTGATCAAAATCAAAAGTCACATCTCTAATAGGACAGTGATGGAGAAATTGTGACTCAGAAGTCTCAAGGTCCAAAGAGAATTGTGCTTTCTTTGTGACCGTTAGTTTTATATTTTACTTCATTAACATGTCTGCGAAGAATGAATGAGAACTCAATAGCAAAATCTATACTTTTTGTTTTTAATAATAAAATGAGCTAAAAACAAAAAGAGAAATATTTTTATCAAGTCTTTAAGAAATAGTTAATATGTCTGAAGGATTATTTTAGTATGAATTTTGAAGCTGCTTAAGGAAATTACTTAGTTGTCTCATATATCTTCCTTTTCTTCCTAATGTTCTGCAGTCTACTTATATATATTACTTTATTCAAAAAGTGTTCACTGAAGAACTACTCTTTTCTATACATGTTTATAATCTCCTTTAAATACAGGATCTCAAAAAGAGTAGTATCATCCTTCAGTCTATGAAGGAGGAAGGTAGTATGATTTGCTATAACCAAGAACACAAAATGGTAGAACCAAGATTCAAAGAGAATTATTTTATTTCAGGCCTAATGATGTTTCCATTGGACCACCGTGCTTTAAGGTAATAGATATAAGGTACTGACTGTTCCTCTCAGTCTTAGCACTGTAGCACTGTCCTCCCATTGTTCATCAATTTGCTCGAGCAGGCCCAGTAACGTCTCCATTGTGAGACTTGTTACTGTGTTTGGCATATTGAATATGTCTCGGGGAACTTGCCAGGCTTTGCCGTGCGGGCGAGATACTCTTAACAGCTTACCGGGCTCTCCAAGAGGGGCGGAGGAATCGAACCTGGGTTGTCCATGTCGGACGCATGCAAGGCCAACTCTTGCCCTACCTGCTGGGCAACCGCTCCAGCCCTAACAAGGCATATGTTACACAATTATGATGATGAAGCTCATTATTTCTTTTGTGGTGCAGGAAGCTTCTTAGTTTGATGCAGTCCCACTTGTTTACCTTGGCTTCTGTTTGTTTGGCCAATGGAAGATCATTGAAGACACCTCTAGATTCAATGTCTTAAAGTGTTCTATGTTTTCCTCAATATAATCTATGGATTCAAGTTTGATTATCTGGAACTAACCCATTTGGGATCTGCATTCATTTTTTTCACGTGACTGACCACTTATCAATACCATTTGTTGAGGAGGCTTTCCCTTGCTCCTCTTTATACACGTTGACCCTTTAGCAAGATTAACTGTATGTATTTCTGAAGATCTGTCTCTAGACTCTCAATTCTATTCTACTGGTCCGAAATTATCCTTACTCCAGTACCATACTATTTTGATCACTTCTACTTTATAATACAACTTGAAATTGGGGAAAAAGAAGCCTTCTCTCTTTATCCTTGGATTGCTTTGGCGGGGGGGGGGGGAGGGGGGTGTCTGTGTATAACTTAGTCACTTCATATAAATTTCAACTGTGTTTGATGTCTTTTAAAAAATGTCACGGATATTTTTAAAGGAACTACCCTGAATTTGCACAATTCTTTGGCAAGACTGTTATTTTGACAATACTGATCCTTCCAATCCATGGATTGTGTTCTCATTTCATGCCCTTTTTGATTTCTTTCAGTAGTGATTTATAGTTTACTTTGCATACGTCTTCACTGTCTCTTGTTAAGCTGATACCCGGTATATGATTTTTAGAGGTACAATTGTAATTGGGATTATTTCAAAAATATCTTTGTCTTCTGTTTCATTATTTGCATATGGTAGAACCATGGACTCCAGTATGCAATTTTGTAGCCTGTCACATTACTGTATAACTGTTTAAGAGCTACTTTGAGGAGACTTGAGGGTTTCCTTAGTAACATGTCATCTGTAAATAATAAGTTTGATTTCCCTTGTTCCTATCTGAATGCCCTTAATAGCTCTTTTTTTTTTGCAAAATCACTAAGGACTCCTAGTACTATATTGAAAAGAAGTTGTGAAATTCGGTAATCTTGTCTTGTGTTTGATCTTAGAGAAAAGACTTTCAGATTTTCACCACTGAATGTTTACTGTGCTAAATTGCTTTAACTACACTGAATAAAGTTCCTTCAACTCCCATTTTGTTGAGTTTTTATCATGATTGGTTGTTGAACCTTAATGCTTTCTCTGTAACTATCATATGGTCATACGATTGCTACTTTCCTATATATTCCTAAGATATACTACACTGACAGACTTCTGTATATTAAGCCATCCTTGCGTTCCTGGCATGAACTGTATATGGCCATGGTGTAAGATCTTTTTGATGTACTGTTGGGTTCAGTTTGCTAAAATTTTGTTGAGGATCTTTGTATCTATATTTATGAAGAAATTAGGTCACCTTTTTTTAGTGATGTCTCTTTCTGTCTTTTAGTACAAGTGTATTGTTTGCTGGAAAGGACTGGGAGTAAATCTCTTTTAAAGATTTGAAAGAACTCACTAGTAAAGCCATCTGAGCCTAGGCTTTTGGCTGGGGGAAGAATTTTGATCACCATTTCAAGTTCTTCCATAGTAATTGGCGTGGACAGGTGGTCTGTTTCTTCTTGGTTCCATTTTGAGAAGTTTAGGGATTCTGAAATTTATCAATTTCTTTTATGGTCTCCTGTTATGTAGCATAAAGACTTTTCAAGTTCCCGATGATCCTCTGCATTTCTGTGATATCACATGTGTCATCTCCCCTTTAGTTCTGATTCACCTTAGTAGGTTTTTTTTATTCCCAATTTATTTGAGTCTTGCTACTGGTTTGCCAATCTTGTTAATTTTTTTCAAAGAACCAGTTCTTGGTTTCACTGTTTTGGATTGTTATTTGGATTTCCCTTTCAGTACTTTTTGTTCTAATTTTACTATTTTGCTGGGTTTTTTCTAGCTGCTTAAGTTCTGTAGTTAGGTTATTTATGTGGGCACTTTTTTCCTTCCTAATGGACATTTGTATTGCCATGAGCTTTCCTCTTAAAACCATTTGTGCTGTGTCCCCTATGTTCTGAAAGTTCATTTCTTTATTCTTATTTGTTTCAAGGAATCTTTTGATTTCATTTCTGACCCACCTGTTATTTAGTAGTAAGTCACTTAATTTCCAAAAGTGTCTTTTGAATTGACCCCACTTCTTGTTGGTCTTTAACTTCTATTTTCAATGCATCATTCATGCTGACATTTACTAAGTTCCTACAGATTTCCTATTCAGGTTTATAGTAAAGATCTTTGAAATATACTGTAAAAGCTGACTCCACTTATTAGAAAATATTTTAGAACCAAAATGCGACGATCTCAGGGGCTGCTCCAGATCAGTGCTTGGGATTATTCCCATGCTGCTTGAAGAACTATGCACTGCAGGGATAGAACCTGGGCTTTCCACATGCAAAACACACATTCCAGCCTCTGGATCTATCTCCCCAGCTCAAATACACTTAATGTGTAAATTCTTAGAATTAAAGAAAAAGTTCAATGTCTGGAGCACATGCTTGGCCTAGAGGGGGCCCAGTTCACCCAGCTCGGACCCCTAATCTTCATGATCCCCCAAACCATGAAATGAGAGCACGCCTGAGCACAGGGCTGGGCACAATCTTAGGGCTGCCGGGCACAATCCCCACACAAAAGGGCACATTTCTTAGGGCTCTGCCCTGTGTACTCTGCAGTGGTTTAAAAATGATTGTCTCGTGATTCTCTGAAAAAATGTTACCATTTTTAAATCAAATTATATAAAACAGGATAAAGGATATAAATTGTTGCAGTAGTTTCTATATGAAATATACTCACCCATATTCATATAGTAATCTCATGAGATTACATGTGCACAGACACACACATACGCATTTGTGTGTTTGATATCAGAGACTGAACCCAGGGCATCAAACACGTAAAAATAAAGTTTACCACTAATCCTTATTTTGATTTCTAATGAAATTAACTTTAAATGCATCTGTTTGTAAAAAACAGAATCATTTAAAATAATACTTACTACATTCCAAATGTTAGGTTTTATTATTATGCCGTAAAGTGGTAAAATAGGTCAAATGATAATTAAGTAGTAAAAACAAATCTAAGAAGAAACATAAAGAAAAATCCTTACCCAAGTATTTTTGCACAATCATCATAATACTTCATGGAATTTTTCACAAAACTGAAGCCATTAACATCACAGACATAGGATTGTCCATTGGCCCGTAACAAATCAAAGCCACAAACTGTTTGCTGTTTAAACAAATTATAAATCATACACTATCATTTAAAATTCAGTTTTCTAACATTAATAGCAAACATCAAATTTTATGAATGCCTGAACATGCATTGTGTTTAGTTACCTCAAAGTAACTAGAGTATTAGTTACTGAAGTTACTGGGTTGCTAGAGTATTAGTTATTGAAGATATAAACACATGTCACAAGTTCCTTAGAGAAAAGCAAGATATAGGTCAATAATGTTTAAAGGACTAAGATGTCCAAAAATAACTGTCAAGCAATTCTTTAATTCTTATTTACAATTACAACAGAGAAATAAACTTTAAGGCTTTGATAAATTTTGCAACAGCAGGAATTATATTACTTTAATCCAAGAAAAAGTTTTAAAGTCACATTCCAGAGAAAACACATGGGTTGAATTCTATGCATCCCATCTGGTCCTCAGAGTACCACTGGAAATAATTCCTGAGTGCAGAACCACGAGTAATCCCTGAGAACTGGCAGTGTGGTACCCCCCCTCCAAATTTTATTAAAAGGCTAATAGTTCCTCTATGAAGAAATTTAAAATTGGACAAAAATAATTTATTAATCTATAACATCACTAAGCACCTGATTTTAAACAAAGCATTTAAGGAAAGTCTTCAAAAGGTCATACAAGCAGAGGTAGAAACATTGTATATACAGTCTGAAAATTCTTTGTAAACAACCATATAAATCATAGTGTCTAAATAAAAAATTCAAAAAATGTATTTCTACTACTTTCACTACACACATATATTAGTCCAACTGCCAAACTTCAAAGACTACTGAAGGTCCTGTTTATTCAGCAACAAAAACAAAACAAATCTTTATTGTGTTTTGGGCTACACTCTGTGATGTCAGTCAGTGAGTAACCCAGGAGGGCTTCCTTCGGGCAATGCTCAGGGAATCACATGGGGTGTTGGTGCTAGAACAGGCTGACTGCACTCAAGGCTGCACTCTAGCTTCCCAAAATCATTTTTTGTGAGGAAATCATTTTTTACCGTTAACTAAAATCCTCAATACTGGTTAACTCTAGACCTATTTTAGCTGCTTTCCTCTGCAATTTTAGTTTCTGAGTAAACTAACAATTTGCTTTTATACAACAAGAAAGAATGTAGAGAAAGAACTTTATTATGCATTTTTATTATTGGCACTATGAAAATCCCTCATAAATATGCAAATTATTTAGATATACCTCTTTTGCTCTCTCAACTTACTTTTAACAATTTTAAGAGTAAATACTATCTCTTTCATTCAAAAAAGGAAAATGGAATTCTATTTGAAAGAACTATACGGCCTGTATAACATCTTACCTTAAAAGCAAGGCAAACTTTCCAAGCAATTAATTTCTCCCGTGCATTGAGAATAACAGGGTATCTGACTTCTTTTCCTTCGCTGTCTCGCTCGACCTTACCGTCAAGTGCAGGAGATTTTCGAGCTTCAGCATGCGCATAATCTGGACCAACTGTATAAACCTTTCACAGATGATGAAAAGGGATCAATTTATATAAATGTCTACCTCTATTTTTTTTTAAAAACCCTACAAAAAACAAATTAAAAAAATGAAAAAACCTAATCAATAAAAAATACTTCCGTATCCAGACTAAAGACAGAAACCTCAATCATTGTTGGTGGGAATGTCATCTGGTTCAACCCGTATGGAAAGCAACAAGAAGATCTCTCAGAAGAGGGCTAGAGAGAGTAATGCAGTGGGGAGGGCATTTGCCTTGTACACAGAATTCAATCCCAGGAGTTCCAGATGATTCCCAAAGGGCCTCTAGGAATAACTGCTGAGTGCAGAGCCAGGAGTAAACCCTGAGCATCACCAGGTGTGCCCCTTCCCGCCTCCCCACCCCCCCAAAAAAAGACCTCAAAAGTAAACTAAAAAAAAAAAATAGAAGCGCCCGCCCCTATATGGCCCAGTGATGACATTTTAAAATGTTTAAAATAAAGAGAGACAGGATATTTAGGTAAGTTATCTGGTACAGTTTTTGGTATCAAAAGTAAGGTTCACAAAACAGATGGAAATATCCTGTACTATGAATCTTAAGGGTACAATTCTTTTCTGCGGTCAATTTGGACTTTCAGGACCAGGTTTACACTTTAGAAAGAGTGCTGTGACAAGGTGAAGTCTGGCAGAAAGGAAGCAGTGATGACCTCCTGCCACTGACAGAAATCACAGATTCCTGTAACAGTCACAGATCTCAAGTTGCTGATCAAGCTCAAGTTCTCCCTGAAACACGTATCTCATGTGATTGTCTCTATGGTTCTTTACTCGCTTATTTCCAGTCTGAAGAAGTCTGTATCTCTTCTCACCCTTCACATCTTCCTAAAAGAAGTAATATTTCATTCAATAAAAACTACCTTTCTATACACACACACACACACACACACAGAGAGAGAGAGAGAGAGAGAGAGAGAGAGAGAGAGTGTCACAAATCTTAAAACACAGACAAACTGAGTTTCCAACTGGGAAGACTTATTATATAATTAGTCACCCTATTTTTAATTTACTATCCATCTAGGGAAACATGTGGTATTAAACCAAGAAGTGCATTTTTTATATTTTTGATAAGGACATTCTAACAAAATTTTCCAAATTTGTAGTTCTATCTGTTCTATTTTAAACTTTTAAAAGCATTACTCTTAAAAAACTGCATTCATAGACTTCTAACTGCTCTTTTTAATGCAAAACAGATACTAAGAATCCTGAGTTTCAGAGATCTGGAACGGAGGGTCACTCTCACTGTCAACTGTCATCCCGTTGTTCATCGATTTGCTCGAGTGGGCCCAGTAACGTCTCCATCGTGAGACTTGTTGTTACTGGGTTTGGCATACTGAATACGTCATGGATAGCTTGCCAGGTTTTGCCGTGCAGATATTCTTGATAGCTTGCCAGGTTCTCCGAGAGGGGCAGAGGAATCAAACCCGGCTCGGCTGGGCCAGCTGCGCGCAAGGCAAATGCCCTAACACTGTGCTATTGCTCCAGCCCAAAACAAAGGGTACACATAGTTAATTTAAAACTTAACAAACTTTCTGAGATCAACAGTAAATTCTCAATATGTAATTAAAATATAAACCTTACCTTGACATCAGTACCATCTGTAGGCATAAACTCTTCATATATATAGGAACCTGTTTTTCGTACATTACTTTCTGGAGAATAAACACTACTTCTACTGCCAATCTGAAAACAGAAGATGTACATTTAATATTAAAATTAAATAATTTCCCTCTGCTTACAAATAACCCTTATAACCACTTACTTCCAACTAGATTTTTTTAAAAATTTGGCCAAAAAAAAAATTGGCAAACATTTAACGAAACTTTAGTAGTTGACACTCATTTTCTGCTGTAACTGTAACTTATTAAAAAGTGAAACAGCCCAAAATACAATGAGCACTGAAAACTGTATCTCTAGCAGTCAATCATGCTGTTGCATGCAGCTCTTCAGTATGACCATTATATAAATATCACATAATCAATTCACTCTCCTTTCAGTGTATTTGCAGTTTCTAGGCTTTAGTACAGCAAAGCTTTTATTTCTCCTAAGATTTACACTGAGAATTGGAATTGCTTATTGATAGTATATGCTCATAATTAACTTATAAATAAAATTTAAAATTTTTATATATCAAACAATTTCACTGCTTGAGCAAAACACGAGGATCAGATCTTTGTCTATGTATGGTATTATTAAAACTTCAGAGTATTTCCTCTTTAATCTACATAAAAGAATATATCTTGTGCTGTCTTCTCCATTTCCATGACTGTTTATAAGTATATGTGCACTTTTCATTCGCGATTTATTGCAAAACAGCAGGATTTTTTGAACTTGCATTCCTGCCAGCAAAGCCTAGAACTTCTACTTGTTTTCAAATTTCCCTGGTCTTTTTGATCTTGCCAATCCAAAAAGTAATTCAATGTTATTATTTTTTAGATTTGCTCTTATTTTATTTTTGGCTTCGGGACAATTAGAGGTGCTCAAGGCTTGCCCCTAGCTCTGAGTTGAGGGATCACTCCTGGTGGAGTTCAGTGAAACCAAATGTTGTTCTAGAGCCCAAATCAGGAGCATTTGTTTTTTATGAATGCAATTTGTAGCATAATTTAAAGCTACCGGTATTACCTTTTCCATCAATTACTCATTTGCGGAACCATTTTTTCTAAAATACTGTTGATCTTATCTTTATTTCTTATGGATGTAGAAATATATAATTCACAATAAGTAAAGATGAAATAAAATTGGTATTCTTTAGGTAGGAGTTCTGCATTAACAATAAGTAATAAAAAAACAATGATTCACTTTTTTCTAGCAAATTATGATACAGTTAATATTTTGGTGAGACATTCTTAACCATGATCTTATTAAGTACCTTATTAATTCTAGGAAAATTACAAAGACCAGGGTATTTATTAGGGTGACAACAGCTTTACCTTTCGAAAAAGCCTCTGACTTCCACCACCAGCAGAGGTTGGGTAGTAAATGTAAACATTGTGATCTTCTGCGCTGACTGGCTTTTCTACAAATGGCTTTTGGAAAACTTCTCCATTCACTTCCACATGATCTTCCCCTTCAATCAGATTGCATTCTAGAAATCAAACACAGTAACAAGAAAACTTATATTCTGTTTACCCTTAGGAACCTGTTTTTCGTACATTACTTAGACATACTATATCTTAGACATACTATAATTGAAGACTTTCCTAGAATAAAGATCAAAAGCACCGTAACCTAGGATAATGGTCTCAATCTGACTTCCATTAGAATACCACACAAGAAACAAGCATCAATATTTTTGTATGTAGCGTTAAAAACCATGGACTCTTCAAAAGCTGTGAGACCTATCCTTACCATCAACGTACTGTATTATCCCACAAAATCCAGTGTCACATAAGCAACAGTGCTCAGACTGAGAAAAACTCCTTCAAAACCAATGGGATTGGGGCCAGAGCCAGAATACAGCAGGTAAGGCACTTGCCTTGCTCGAAACCAACCTGAGTTCAATCCACAGTACCACAAATGGTCCCCTGAGCACCACCAGGAGTGATCAATGAGCAGAGCCAAGAGTAAGCCTTGAGCAACACTGGTGTTAGATGCCTCTCCACCAAAAAGAGGCAGATAACGTCCAACTGACTTTTATTGACTAATTTTGGTATAGCTCACATCTATATTCTAGAAAATTGGGAAAATGAAGCAAAGGAGTCTTCAAAATATTAATATTTCAAAAATTCTAGCCACCATCTAATTGTATAATCCTAGCTACTTGCTAATATACAATTCAGTAATAATAGAAGAATCACTTCTTTTCACCAAATCAAAACAAATTTATTAAATATATGGCTGAAAAATCCTTCATGGGAAAGGAACATATGCAGCTCAGTGGTGGAGTACATGGTTCACAAGAAAATATCATCTTATTAATTATTCTGAAATATAACAAAGGGTCATCCTCTGAAGAGTAAGATGTATCACTTAGTTCATAGCTTTTTAGCTTAACAGAGTCAGAGTCTGACTGAAAGCTAAGCTTATTTAAATCATTAAAAAAATAAAAACCAACCAAACAGAATACAGAGTTTTTTAAATTTTTTCCCCTTAATAGGAGAAGGCAAGTGGTGATTAAGTATGTTGAATGACAGGAAGTAGTTCACATAAAAATCTCTTACTCTTACCTTTGGGATTATTTGGATCACGGTTCAAAATTGCATAACGAGGAAGTAAAATACCTTCTGCTTGAAGAATACTATATACTTCTCTCCTGAAGAAAAGAGAAACCATTCTTACAGTTTTATTGTTCCATGTTCAGTTAAGTCTATAACTGCATTACTATAAGGGGACTGATTACCTCTCATTAAGAAAGGCAAGTATATCAAGTCATTTTATTTTTAGAAAAAATGTCATTTAAATGCCTACTGAAAATTGTTTTCTCAGAAATACCCAGCAATTAGAATAAAAAATGCATGCTCAACATTATAATTAAAACACTGGCTGAAATTCTGAAACATAATATAGAAAAAAGTCATGGATAAACAATAACAGGGCACACAGGTCTGATCCACAGCAATACAGAGGGCCCCTGAGTACCACCAGGGGGCACCCCTTAAGCACAGACACAGGCCCTGGGCACCGAAGGTCATGGCCCCAAACTCAAAAACATAAAAACAAAAAACTTAACAACACACTATGACTGCCATTAAAACTTATACTCAAATTATATAAAGACATGGGAGATACTCTAATAGCATAAGAGAAAAACTATCCCAATTTTGTAAACTGCGAGTAGATGTCTGAATTCTTCTCTAAGTGCAAAATGACAGCAGATGCACCGGCCAGGTTAAATGCCTTTCTTGAGACTTTCACCAACAAACTTTTGAAAACAATCACACATTTCTCTATCATATTTTAAGATTACGATTAAAGGCCCTCCTGTTGATAGTCGATTTGCTCGAGCGGGCCCAGTAACGTCTCCATTGGAGACTTTGTTGTTACTGTGTCTGGCATATCGAATACTCTCGGTAGCTTGCCGGGCTCTCCGAGAGGGGCGGAGGAATCGAACTCGGGTCGGCCATGTTGGCTGCGTGCAAGGCAGACGCCCTACCCGCTGTGCTATCGCTCCAGCTCTCTATCATATAACTGAGCATTATAGTAAGCATGCATGAATGTGTAAACCTAGGGAGTGGTTTTAAAATACTTGATATTAATAATGTTAATATCTGATAGCACAGCGGGTAGGGCATTTGCCTTGCACGCGGCCAACCTGGCCGACCCGGGTTTGATTCCTCCGCCCCTCTCAGAGAGCCGACAAGCTACCAAAATTATCTCGCCCGCACGGCAAAGCCTGGCAAGCTACCTGTGATGTATTTGATATGCCAAAAACAGAAACAAGTCTCACAATAGCGACATTACTGGACCTGTTCAAGCAAATCAATGAACGAGAGGACAGTGACAATGAACAAAAATGAAAAATATATAGGGCCTTATAATTTAAAATCTCATATTGTAATAATATAAAAAATAGAATGTTGGTGAAGTCATAAGTGGTCAGAAAAACAACAGTTGAACAAAATATGGATACATTAAAATTTACACTTTCTACAAGAAATCCGTGCTTTTGAACTATCAAATATGTATAGTGAAACTGTTTTCAAATATTGCGATTTGAAAATTATTCTTTTCTGAAAGAAAACTAGTAAAACCTTAAGTTATCAGTTACATCACAATTTTTTCCATAACAGGCATGGTTTTGTAGGCTCCAAAACTTAAATAAGAGTCCCAGTTCCCAAACTTATAACCTTGCTAATGGATCTGATTCTTTAGTTTCTTCATCTGTAAAACAGGCTACAAATTGCTATACGTAAATATTATTTCAATGCTACCATGAAATAATATATATGAAAATATCTAATGCTATGGCAGTTTATAGTAGATATGAGAGGTGTGTTAATTTTCCTTCCCTAAATTGAATTTCACCACTCACCTATCTTGTATGAGATACTGCATATTCAAGTCATTGATTACAAATGGATTCCTGAGTTTTGCATAGGCAACTGCTTTGTCCAAGGGAAATCCTAAGAACACATATTATTAACATATTCTGTACAATCTGGAATAAGTTGACACCTATAACTTATCAACCTGAATGTATGCCACTTCTACTTATTACGCATATAACTGACATTAGGCATGGAATATATATCTATTTAAAACTTAATGTAACTTATGCTACTAAATAACCTTAGTTTTACATAGCTAACTTAATAAGGCACAGCAAGTCAGTGGCTACATAGCCAAAATTTAGAGCAAAGACACATTTTTTTCAAAGTCATCAATTCTTCACATACAAATGGAAATATATGTATATATAACCAAGGTATAGCAATCTGGTGATGCCTTAATTAATACAACTCTTCTCACTTATGACATACCTGCACTCATAAATTACTTGATAATTCAAATAATTTATACCTTCTTAATAATGGCAGCAAAAACAAATTAATTCACTAAGAAATAAAATGCTCAAAATAGAAAATACATGAGAATAATGCTTCCTGTTACTAGGTCCAAGTCAAGATGTTAAAATGAACTCTCATACTCTTCAGATTTTAGTAAAATCAGCAATAGTAATGAAAATAAAAGGCAGACATAGTTAAGAGTTCAACCAAAGAATCTCAGAAGAATTTTAATGATTATATTTTATGCACTATTAAAATCTATCATTTTCACTTTTACCCATTAGTAAAAATTATTAAAAGAAGCAGTGCTGGGGCTGCAGCAATAGTACAGCGAGAAAGGCATTTGCGTTTCAAGTAGCCAAAGCCGATTTAATTTCTGGCATCCCATATGATCCCTTCCCAAGCACCACCAAAAGTGATCCCTGAGCACACAGGCCAGGAGTAAGCTACAAGCAACAATGCAGGTGTGGACCCAAAACAAAGAGCAGTATTTTATAAAGAGCATAAACCAAATTTGCACATCCTGGTTGCATCTTTCACTAGCTATGTGACCTTCAGTAAATTTATTTCATGTTTCTAAGCCTGTTTCCAGGTTGCAAATGATTATTATACCAGTCTGAGCTAGTAAGATTAAGGAACTAAACATTTTGCATAATACCCGGCATAGCATAGCAATAAATAAGTATAAAATATTATTCCTTAAATAAAAATATTTTAATAAATAGCTTATCTAGAAAAAGGGGCAAATAAATCAGCAAGGATGCATGTAACTGATATACTATAGGATAGCTGTGAAGACACTACCTTTCGCAGCACTTAGTAAGCAAAATGAAGGAGGAATTAAAAGCACAAAGAGGTTTAAAAAGAGCAATAGTTAGTGAAATTGCAGCTCTTTTGCAATGCCTAACAGAGGAGCTCCTGGACTGGCTTCTGGGTCAGAGCACTGCCGGGAAGACCCCAAAACAAATATATAAGAGTCAAGAGAAGTACTCTCTATCAAGAGCCACTGGCCACAAAGTACAAACCCTTCAAGCTAACAGAATTTACACTTACAAAAACATCTCTAAACCTATGACTTTAAATTTCCTAAGAGAATTCAGCAGATAATAAAGATCTGCAGTCAGCTCCCTGCTTTTGGTGTTGTTAAGGAGGAACTTTCTCCTTACCAAGAGCTCCCGGACCTTTCTAGACAAATCACTTTTGTAAAAAGACCAGGTACACTAAGGGATGAAAACCTTAACCCCCAGGATACTTTAAGACTGAAATAAGAGGCTTTATTTTGTCCAGACCAGCATTTGGCTTCTCTCTAAAATGATTAAAGCTTCTCAGTAGAGGCTATGGGAACCCATTAAGTCTCAACCGTGCCCATCTTACAGCTGAAGGAGATTCTACAGTCATGGAACTGAAGAATATGAAATATGAACAAGGCTGTGAACTACATTATTTTGGTAACAAAAAAAATTAATTTGAATACATATAACTTAGTGTATCTTTGAAATTACAGTTCTTATATATGTGTATACGACTATGTATATGAGAAATGATAAAGTATATGGCAAAGGCATGAGGACATAAAATATTTAAGAATTTATACTAAGAAATTTAGAAGTGCAACAAATGTTGTAAGAGTTCATTACAATATTATATTTAATCCTGAAAACTAAAATCCATCTGTTAGGGTATTGATTAAAAATGTTACTGTACATTTATACAAAAATATTATGTCACCACTAAAACTCAGATTTTTAAAGCCCAAAATCAAAGATTAAAAAGTCTCTGGATGTAATTAGTAAAGATAAAATCTAAAGCTACATAAATAAAAAGATTAGAAAATTAATTATGTAATTAATATCACCTATATGAAAAAGTGGTTGAGTTTACTTTTTTTTCTATTTTATCCAATATCCTTCAATTAGTATGTATTAATTTTATAATTAGAGAGGACAAAGGGATTTCTCTTCCTGTACTTTAATACCTTTCGAATGGAAAGAAATTAGACAATCACATAAAGGCCAGTTTTCCACTGGTTCATTTAAAATAACTTCCTCTTCAAATACCACTACTGTGATATATTTAAATAAGGAGATCCGTTCAAGAATTTCCTTCATTGGCTTGGATTTGGATTTCTTTGCCATGGAACATATTCCAACCACAATCTGCCTTTCTGGAGGCTAAAACAGAAAGGAAAAAAACAATTAGGTTGACTTAATAAAAACTCCAAAGTACAGTTAGTAAAACTCTTTCTTAGAAGTTACAGCAGATACCTGATGAATCTATAAAAGTGACACAGTAACCAAAACAGAGCAGTTTTCAAAATTACACTGTTGTAATATGTAATAACAAATAACAGAAATTCCATACAATGGTCTGGCAAAAAATGCAAGTAAAAAAACCTGCAGAACACTGTCAATATTTTCATTCAGATTTCAAATGTAAACAAAAACTTGTCTTTTGCATTCACTTTGGGCTTAATATTAATTGGTCACTAATGACAACTTGGAAGGAAATTTTCGATAAATTCACAGAGGTCTCAGAACTGTGACATTCCAAACTTCAATCTCACTATTTCTATTTAATGGTGTTTTCAAAAGAAACAAAGAGTGGGTAAGTAGCTCACAGGTCTATAAAGTTGCTCACAACTCATTGTCAAGTCCTCACATTGTCTCCAGTTTCATTAAATATACATAGCTAGTATGGACAGTTTCTCTTTTCAATTCTTCGCTCTCTTCCAGATCTTCGACAGTCCATATAAAATTATAATCCAGGCCCAAAGTGCTTTATTAGACTGTTATAAATCTACAGCTAAAACTTAAGTAACACCAGACTGTACAAATAGTACAGAGGATAAGGCATTTGCCTTGCATGCTGCCAAGTCAGGTTTAATCATATATATGGCCACCAAGCCCCGAAAGGAGTGATCCCTGAACACAAAGCAAAGATTAAGTCCTGAGCACTACTGGAAATGGTCAGTAACACTGTAGCACTGTCCTCCCATTGTTCATGGATTTGCTCATTTGCTCGAGCAGGCCCAGTAATGTCTCCATTCTGAGACTTGTTACTGTGTCTGGCATATGGAATACCTCATGGATAGCTTGCCATGCTTTGCCATGTAGGCGAGATACTCTTGGTAGCTTGCCTGGTTCTCCGAGAGAGGCGGAGGAATCAAACCCGGTAGGCCGGTTTGACTGTGTGCAGGGCAAACGCCTATGCTATTGCTCCAGCCCAAAAACAAACAAAAGTAATGTCATAATTAATTTGTTCTTTTTCTTTGTGCATCTATATGTATGTGTGTTTATGCATACATATATAAAACCAACATGATATTTTTACATTACCTCCTATAGTTTATTAAACTGCAGGATTAGTATTTCATGTCACTGTATACCCTATCTTATGATATCTGCTGTCTTTCCCTCTCTGATCATCTCCTTCTATGTTCCCTTCTTTTTTTTTTCCCATCAAAAAGCCTTGACACAGAGCCAATGAGAAAGAAGAGCAGGTAGGGCATTCACTTTACCGCAGACCAGGGTTCAATCCCTGGCGCCACATGTGGTACCCCCCGCCCCTAATAGAACCTCCAGGACTAAACCCTGAGTACCACTGGGTGTGATCCCTCCCTCCAAAGAAACAAAAAGCACGGACACAGCTCATTATGATGATTCTGAACATTATCCTAGGCAACAAATATTTCATGCTTCTTTATAAATAAACTAGAATATTAATATATTAGCAGAAATGTAAGAAATTCTTTATGACTGATTACTTCTTCTCCTTTCCCTCTACCTACTTTTGAGTTACACAGACAAATTGAAGACACAAAAATGCACTGAAAAGTTTGGTCCCTAATTCTATCTCTTCATGCACTATTGATTCTTCAAGAAACAAAATATATCTTTTCAGTTTAAAATATTTTCAGAGGCTGGAGTGATAATACAGAGGATAGGTGCATGCATTACCTTGTAACCTAGGTTCGATCCCTGGCATCCTGCATTGTCCTCAAATTCTAAATGCAGAGCCAGGAGTACCAGGTATGGACCAAACTAAAACTAAATTGTTTTCAAAAAACACTATTTGAAAAAAAAAAACAGGCCTCACAGTTTATTAGTATCAATTCATCTTAATAGTGGGTAGGGTGTTTGCCTTGCACACTGCCAACCTAGCCGACCCGGGTTCGATTCCTTCACCCCTCTTGGAGAGCCTGGCAAGCTACCAATAGTATCTCGCCTGCACAGCAAAGCCTGGCAAGCTCCCCGTGACGTATTCGATATGCCAAAAACAGTAACAAGTCTCACAATGGAGACATTACTGGGCCCGCTCGAGCAAATCGCTGAACAACGGGAGGACTGTGCTACAGTGCATCTTAACAGTAATTAGCGGGGGCCAGAAGGGCATTTGCCTCTTGCATGTGGTCAACCTCGGTTCAATCCCTGATATCCCATATGGTTCCCCAAGCACTGTCAGGAGTGATTCCTGAGTGCAGAGCCAGGAGTAACCCAAGCATCGCTGGGTGTGAAACAAAAAGCCAAAAAAAAAAAGTAATTAGCAAAAGGACAAGCCTATGTTACTCAAATAAACAACTTACGGACTCATCTTCTTCTTCATCATCTTCATCTGTATGATGGAAGAAATGGCGATAACTTCCAGGGTTTATTTCTGAATCCTCGGGCCCAACAAAGAATCTGGGGACTTCACTCATTTTTTTATTTCAGATTTCACATTTAAATCTACAGCTATGATTTAAATGTGCTATGCCGAAACAGCGTCTAAGTAGACAGCGTCCAAAGAAAGCATTCCTTCCCTCTCTACAGCAACTGCCACATAGATCCGCTGCAGCCTGTTCTGCTTATACAATCACTTGAAATTGTGATGTCAGTTGGCAAATAGTCTTCCGCTCTCAGATCTCATTGTTTCATTGCTGGTGCAGCTTAAAGGGCAGAGACAATGGGCCTATTGCTTCCGTGAACAGATGAGGCAATGGTTTCACCTGAAAAATAATAAAAATTATGGACACTACAGCAAAAATATTCATGAAACTACATATTAAGAAGGCATCAACCCAGCATCTTGTTCTTTAAGATTTAATTCTAATTTAATTGATGACGTTTTATGAGACATTTCAACATTTATCATGGATCGATCTTATCCATGTTTAAAACTATAATCACACAATGTATAAATACCAAGAGATTTTTTTCATCAAAGAATGCAGAAATAATTGAAATACATAACTGAAATAAATCAATGCATTTTACTTCCATTCCCTTTGCACCGTTATATATATACATAAAAATGTTCACTGAAAAAGAACAAATGAAAGTTTTGACCTGCCATGAAACTTGCTAGCACTGTAAATTAATCCTAATTCTTCTGCTTTGTACCAAATGGCAACTATACTATGGCTTCCGTTTTGCTTTTTACTCCCCCATCCAAAAGCAATCCTATTATTTCAATAGTGAAAAGGGCATTTGGCATCTGGCAATAAGATACGACTTTTGAGACCTATCACTTAATAATTCACAAGCAACGCTAGTTTCTCCAAATACCAGTTTCTTCATCTATAAAAAAGGGGGTATCATATCCTGTAATTCTGTGATACTAAACCCAAAGTAAGTACTGTAGCACTGTCCTCCCGTTGTTCATTGATTTGCTCGAGTGGGCATCAGCAACGTCTCCATTGTGAGACTTGTTACTGTTTTTGGCACATCAAATATGTCACACATAGCTTGCCAGGCTCTGCCGTGCAGGCGGGACACTCTCGGTAGCTTGGCAGGCTCTCTGAGAGGGGCGGAGAAATCGAACCCAGGTCGGCCACGCACAAGGAAAATAAATGCCTTCCAGCCCCTACCCACTGTGCTACATTCTATGAATCAAATTTCCTAACAGGATTACATAGTGAGAACATTCAAGAAATAAAGGAGAAAGGTCCTAAAACTTGACACATCTGATGCACAAGAAACTGAGAACACTGGAGCTAGGAACTACAAAGGATGCAAAGAAAGAAGGGTAGAGAACCAATTTTGAGAAGAACCCAAGACACAGAAAACTGAGAAGCCAGGGAAGAATTTCCAATGTCCAATGTGACTGGACTGCATTTTCAGAGACTGGGAGGAGGGACGGTCAGCAGAGACAGAAGTGGGGCCTGGGGGTTGTCCTGTGAGGACTTTGTGATAAAGGTTGGCAAAGGGACTGGGTCTGAGGATGTCAAGATGTCCAGAGGTTGCTGTTTCTCACTTTGCGTCTTTTGCTAATCCCACTATTCTTTTTAAATCTATATATTTAGAATTATTTAAAAGAACTGAAAAAGAAAATGATTAAGAGCATGAATTTTGAAGCTAAAAAGGGTTAGCTTAGAAATTTAACTCCAGTAACTGTGACCTCTCGAGACCTCAATACTCTTGTCTACACTTATCTCAGAGACAGATTTAAAACGAGTTTGCCTGCTCAGGCCACATTCCATATGAATGAAGCAGAATGTTTAGGAGCAGAGCCCAGGTACTGTTAAGGCTACCCACGTGCTTCCAATGTGCAGCCACATTCAAGAATCATTGTAGTTCTCCAAGAATCAGGGGAAGCCGAGAAAAAAAAAGAAGCATATGGCTAGCAAGAAACAAGATAAAGCTAATGAAAGAGAATCTTTTTTCCTCCTAATACTTAGCACATTTCAAGTATCCAATAAAATAAACAGTCCTCCCCCAAACTTCCCTTAATGGTTTTCAAGATTTCATCTCTGAATAACTCTTCATGATCTTCGGATTTAACCTTGTACTTGGAGGGGAATCTAGGTTCTCAGCAACTGCTCCTCTCGGGGTTCCTGAGAAAGCTTGTGGGGTGCTGGGGATCAAACCGCGGTCACCTGCAGGCAAGGCAAGCACCCTACCTTGCACTATCGCTGCATCACCTTGTAATTTCCTGGAAATGGAGAAAGTTTCCTCATTCTGAAAATATCTGGGGTATAAAAGGGTTCATCATTTAATCAGAAATGGGAACCATACAAAGGTCACAAAATCAAATAATTGGAACAAGATCACACAGCTAGCAAGGTCTGCACATGAAACTCAAACACAGCCTATTTAAACCAAAGGCTTTCGTGTTTGCTTAAGACCATGCAGAACTACGCACGTACTTATCAGAACATGATATGTGTCTAATAAGTTGTAGGAAAATGGAGAGCAGGGAATAAATCAGGTTTTCTTATTCACCTTAGTATATGAATACAATATTGTGGCTCTTTTGGTGAGCCCGGCAAGCTACCAAGAGTATTCCGCCCACACTGCAAAGCCTGGCAAGCTACCTGTGATGTGAGGTATTCGATATGCCAAACACAGTAACAAGTCTCACAATGGAGATATTACTGGTGCCCGCTCGAGGAAATTCACTGGGATTTCAAAATCTGAAATTAGTACAACACTACTAAATATTTGTGGCCTACACTAAAGTTGTAGTTCTCCAACTTTCCCTCCCATGGGAAGCACTGAAGGCTTGCTGATGGCTGCCTGGAAAGCCTGTGTATTGGGCATACACGCTGCCTTTCCAAAGGGGCTGAAGTGGGTCTGGCACAGGGCTCGGTGCTCTGTACGCAGGATCCCGTCTCAGACACCCACACCAGGTCCAGAGTGAGGGAGTCTGCTGATGCTGAAATTCGACAAAACTGGACTAGAAAGTCTTTGCAAATCCTTCACCAAGTAGCCACCACCAGAATATGCAAATGGCGGGGGTTTCCTTTGGAGGATGAATGCCACACAGACAGCAGAGCAAGCAGCACAAGGTAAATCCGAGTTCTTTATAAAAATCTCGCTAACTGTCGAGAACTGAGACTGCGATGTTGAGCCACAATTTTCGGCAGAGAATATACCAAAGAGGGGCCTGAGGTATATAGTACAGGGGGTAGTGTGCTTGCTTTGCAGAATTCAGGTTCGATCCCAGTACCACATATGGTACCCCCAAGTCCCACTAGGAGTGATCCCTGAGTGCAGAGCCAGAGGTAAACAATGAGCACTGGGTATGGCCCGAAAAACCCAACCAAAAAATACACCAACAATCCAATCCACAATATTCCCTCTGCCAATGTGTCTTTTCCAGTCCTACCACCCCCCCCCGGAAACTGGAACTACTGCCTGGAAGGACAGTCTCACCTTCAGGCACCTCCTGGCCACTACCCACGCTCCAGACCTTTGAGGTGAGATCTGACTTCAACCATGCAGTATTTTGGAGCTTCTCCTGACCTGGACTTAAAATCGAAGCCATCACAGCAGCCCTCTGTACGGTCCCTGCAGGGGCCCAGTAAGCCCCTGCTCCCAGATCTGAGGAGTGAGGGAACTCCAGCTCCTTTCCGCTCCAGCCGAACACACACACTGGCCCAGTTGGCCTGAAATCATTTGCGAATAGAAATACCAATTCCAAAGGACAAGTCTCCTTCAGGACACTGGTTTCAAGCTGCTAGAGACGTCATCTGTCCCATTAGGCTTCACTGCTGGCAAATGCGATGAGGCATGAGCTGGGAAGACTGCTACAGAGCTCCCGCCAAAGGCACACAACTTCCGGACTTCCCACTTTCTGTTTTCGGCATCATACACCTTCGTGCGAAGCCTGCCTTCTCTGCCTGGAATCATTGCCCTACTTGGAAGTCCCTTTTCCTCTGCCAGTGACCACCTAGAAAGTAACGGACAGGCACTTCTCTACCGCCTGGACGCCTGGCTGGCCCCAAGCACTCCTCATCACTCATTTCCTTCCTCTGGACTCCAAGTCTGTCCATTACTTCCTTAGGTGGTCACTGCCACAGTCGACCTGCATTGAGAGTTGAGAGACTTTCCCCCTTAAAGAGTCAGAAGAGCTGAAGAGCCATTTCACTCATAAAGACACCCACCCCCACCACCAGGCCTGAGGCCTGCTTAGCATGCTACCATTTTCACTTTCTATTTCTGCAGGCACAGCAACCCCGAGTTTGCTGCATGATTTAAAAGCTGGAGCCACTAACACCCCTTGTCTCTAAATAATTCAGTATTATCTCTCCAAGAAGTTCTGAAGCCCTCCTCCCTGGCCACTCTGGTTTTCACTTCATTAACAAGTCCAAGATGCTATTTACCTATTGTTTCCCGAAGGGCTCACCACCAGCTCACCAGCACGGGAGTCCCGTGAAGACAACCCTCCAGCAGGTGATCCAAGCCCCCTTTGAATGAACGCTCCCGCTACAGAGAAGCTCAGGCAAGATACAGAACCAGGTGCAACAGTGACAATCACGGGTCCTGGGTCAGACGAAGGTGGCTGGGAACTCATCAGCTCCCCAGTGCAGCAGAAGCCAGAGCTGTCTAGGCGGGGCGCAGCCCGCGACGTCCCCAGGCTCATCTGCCACCTTTGCTGACCGAGAAGGACCGGCTCTGCCTCCGGCACTGCGCAGGGCGTGGAGAGGCCAAGCCGCGTTGAGGAAGGCGCGGGCACCGCAGGACTCGGGTTCGGGCACCAGGGCCGTCTTTCCTCTGCCGAGAGGAAACTTCCTATTTCACCGCAAAATGCTCGGCAGCCCAGAGTACGCCCTGTGGATCGCAGTGCAGGGGCGAGGGCGCTCTGGCCAGGGCTTAGCGCGGGGGGCAGGGCGCCTCGCAGCAAGGTGGGCAGGGCCCCACGGGACCCCTGGCTCCGCGTCTCCGGCAGCAGCTCCTCAATGACCACCGCTCCCCTGCCCGCGTCTCCCTGCAAACGCCCGAGCACGACACTCTCCACCGCGAAGCAGCGCTGCGACGTCGGGCTCCGGGGCACCGCGGGCCGCGGCCCCAGGCTGGACGGGGGAGGAGCAACGGGAAGGAAACGAGCCATCCGCGCTTTCAGAAGCCGAACCCCGGGCTGCCCGGGCGTGGAGGAAGGGGAAGTCGTGGCAGAAGCGGGGGCGCCGGCGCGGGAAAGGCTGCGGGACGCCCTCGAGGCCGCGCTCGCTCCGGCGGGGAGGAAACAAAGCCGGCGCCGGGCTCGGCGCGGGCCCCGGGCCCTGGCACTTGGCGGCGCCGGGCTCTGCGACCGGCCCCGGGCCCGGCAATTCGCGGCGGCGGGCGCTGCCCGCAACCCCCGGGCCCCGGCCCCTCGCGGCGGCGGGCTCTGCACCCGGCCCCCGGCCCCTCGCACCCCAGGGCGCCGTGTTCTGCACCCGGCCCCTCGCACCTCACCTGCCGCGGCTGCGGCCGTCCCGCAACGCGCCGGCTCCGGCTGAGCCCATTCAGGTCTCCGGGCGCCCTTTAGTCCCGGGGCAGGGGTGAGGCTGCGTGGAAAGGGGCCGAGCTGCAGCGTGGACTTGGCTCTCCCCGCCTCGGCCACACGCCCAGAGCCACGGAGCGGGACCGCGAGGAGCCCGGCAGCGCGCGCGCCTCGGCCCCGCCCCCGCCCCGCCCACTCGGCCTCCGGGAAAAGGAGTCCGGGCGGAGCCGCTTCCGGCCCGCCCGCCCGGTGTCGCTGCCCTCCCCCACCCCCGCCGTCCGCCCGCTTCACGGCTCGAGTAGTTCCTCTTCCGGCAGCACCAGATAGGTCGCGGGAGGCGCGTCAGTCCTGTCGCTCGGCCCCAGGGCCACTTGGGTGAGTGGTCGCCGGAGGTGTGTTGTCAGACTTCAGTGGTTCTTTCGATTTTTCTTAAAGTGAGGCGTCCCCTCGATGATCCCGTTGGACGCCGCTAGCGCCGACGAGCCTCGGGCAGGGACGGAGCCGGCGGCGACTGCGCAGGCGCCCTCGGGCCGGGGAGGCCGGAGCCGGGCCGGAGCGGGGCCGCGCGCTGCATTCTGACCGTTTCCTTCCCGGTCTCGGCGGCCGCGTCTGCGGTGTCCCTGGCCAGCCGGGGACGCCCCGCCAATGTCCGCCGCCCTCCTGGTCCAGGTCTGGCCGCGCCCCTCCGGGCGGGCCCGGGAGACTGACCGCTCGGGGCGGGGGGCGCGGCGCTGACTGCCGCCCTCGGGGACCTGTCCCTCCGGGAAGCCGCGTGGCCAAGGCTAGGTCTGGGCGTGGGAGTCCGCGGCGCGCGCGTGTCCCGGGTTCCGGCGCAGCCACGGAGCGCGGGGGGGAGGGAGGTCGCTGGGTCCGAGGGGACCGCCCGGGAGAGGGGGTCGTTCCGGAGGGGCTGCGAGCGGCCACTTTGGGGGACGGCCCGGACTACAGCTCGCTGGCCAGAGAGCTGGCGACCGTTTCCGGGGTGCTGCGAGGAGCTTCTGCCTTCCGCACCCAGACCGTCCTCTTGAGCGCCGCCCGCTGAAAGCTGGACTTTTTTTTTTTTAAGTCTCCGATGCCCAGGCAGAGCTCAGCTTTAGGAGGGGCTGGCGGGAGGCTTGAGCACGCAGCTGCGGATGCGTCTGATTTGAGTTATCCACCGGACACCGGCCTAGCGGGTCGAGCAGGACCCCAGGCGTCTCCTTTGCCCCAGGACAGAGGGGCAGTGAGACCCCTTTAACTACCTTTTATTAGAGCACCACTCTGATTCGCAAGTAATTAACGACACTTCACCCACGCCTCTAGCACTCAGTTCTCCCTTGAAAATATCTTCATTTAGTACTCAATTACATATAGACATTTTATTTATTCTTGTTCTCAATATTATAACCGAAGGCCTTCCCCCCCCATCTTAACCAAAATAAAGTCGGAACAAAATGGTGAATATACTTAGAAAAGAAAAAAAAAGCAAGGGTACTTGGAGTACAATAGGTAAAGTACTTGCCTTACACACTGCCGACCCAGGTTCAATCTCAGGCACTCTGTTGGCCCCCCAGCCCACTGCCAGGCGTAAACCCTGAGAACCGACCGGGTATGGCAAAAATTGAGGGTGCTTTTAGTTATTCCTTTATACGCTTTTAACACTGAAGCTCTCTTTAAAGATTTCTGTGTGTGAGCTGATGTTTCATTCTTGTTCTCATTTATCCTATCATTTCTCTTTTCCTCCACAACTTGTGAACCCTGTAAATTCTAAGGCTTCCGGTTTTATTGTTAGCAGTAAAGGATAATGAACAATCTTAGAAAGTGTTGATCTCCATTAATGAAAGAAGAGAGTTTACAGTCTTTTTCCCTTCTAGGTAAAGATTTAAAGCAGAAAGAATTCTCATACTTTGAAGAGCTTGATATTGGGCAAGATATTTCTTGAGTATTTGAACAGTAGATACTTAACCGTTGACGAAAGACTTCTTAAGTCTTGTGTCTTTTTTTTTTCTCAGCCTGGAACTGAGGCTTAGGTAATACTGCACTAGAAAGTCTGACTCCTGAGAGTTTTTGTTAGACTCACACTTGTAATTTTTTTCCCACTGTAGTAATGGTTGCCCTTGGAAGTTGTATTCTGCTTTCCATGGGTGTTGCGTCTCTTATCAGGAATTCTCTGTTCACAAATAGTTTAGTGTTCCAGTGTGAGCGATAATGCGGGGGTAGGGCATTTTCTTTGCAAAGGCTAACATGGTTTGCATTCCTGCATCCCATATGGTTTCCCAAGCCTTCCAGGAGTGATCCCTGAGCACAGAGCCAAGAGTAAGCCCTGAGCTCTGTGAAGTGGCCCCAAACCCCAAACAACAAAAAAGTGGTTCATTGTTGTGTCCCAAACATTGTGTGAAGTGATTTAAACATTCAGTCCACATTCATACTCTTCAGAAAAACTTTATACCATCTGTTCCTAGAGGTCTGTCCGAAGTATTGTAAAAGCTGAAGGTGACAAAAAATTGAGTTGTTAATGTTACGGGAAGGAAATTGAAATTCATGCAGTTGCAGTACTACCAGGGTATGGACTGATTGAATTGTGTTGCCTAGGTAAAATGAACCCCCACTTCTTGTCTGTAAAATACGTAAATATAAAACTTAGCTATAAAACTAGTACTACTTCGTAGGGTGTTGTATGAATCACAGTGAACACTTGCCTTCTCTGCCCGTGTTCTCCCTTGTTTGTCTCTTCAAGCTCGTGTTCTTTTATGTTTCTGTCCTGAAAATTATATATTCTTATTGTCCTTTGGTATATTTATATGAGGGCTATCAAAGAATACAACAATAAATTGGCCCTTCTGTTGAAATTGGTTTTCTGTTCTAGAGAGCTTTTATTGCATAAACTTATTAGAAGCTACAGATACATGTTAAGAGTGGTATATGTATGTCAAGATGAGTGAAAATTAATTTTACAAAGGAAATGAAATAGGAAACCATATTCTGTGCAGTTAGCTCTTTTCATGTAGGAATTGATGTGTATACTTTCTGTACTGCGCTTATTTATAGAGCTTAGTATTATTAACACCATTACCTGTCAGGTTTTTTTCAAATCTTTTTGTTTGATTTCACGGCCACATCTAGCTGTCCTCAGGTGTTATTCCTGGCTCTGTTTAGGAATCACTACTGAAAGGGTTCAGGGGACCTTATATCATCATCCAGAAAGTGAACCTGGCTGTGCCATAAGCATGGCAAGTACCTCATTTACCATACTATTACTCCTGCCCTTCATTTCCACTAGGGGATTATCAGAAAAATTTTTATACTGTACTTAGTCCTTTAGATAATCAATATGAGCATTATCAGTTTGAAGTCTTGGCTTAATATCCCCAAATTTAGTTGAATCCAGTGTGTTTGTTTATTTGATGCCATAACTCCACCATTACTAAACTGTGATGTAGCTTCTTATGATAGCCATGGTCACAGGATGGCTTTGGAATAGTTTGAACTTTTAAGTGAAGCACAGCTCTTCTCAATGCCTGCCAGCTCCTCTGTGGATCCTATCTTGAGCTATGTGAGAAGCTGCCGTCTGACCATTAGGCACATATACACCATTAGTAAGTAACTGGAGTCATTTAAGAAAGAAAAAGATAGGATTTCCTTCTACTAATATTTTTTTTTAAGAGGCTGCTCAGTTTTAGGTCATAAAGACTTTGTAAAAAAAAATGCTCATTTTCACTTCCTATTATGAGAATAGAAATCAAAACTATGGAGTTCTCTCTCTCCATACCTCTGAGAGTAACCTATGCTAAGAAGACCAAAATCACAGGTATGGTGAGGGTGTGGAGAAAAGGGCAATGGGTTTCTGAAATACTCAAGTGACCTATTTTATAATCTGGATGGTAAAATCTAGCCAGTCATTTCATGCGTGTTTAGCTTGTGTAATATACTGAAGGTGTTATTTTAAGAGCTCTACTTTAAAAAATGCACATTGCACTTAAATAAACATATGCTAAAATATTTTAATAAAATTTCTACTTTTTTATTTACACTACCATAAACTTTTGGGAGTACAGTTTCCCTCAGTGCGTGTGTGTGTCACATACATCACAGAACCCACCACTAGGGTCTTTCACTTTTTGACATACTCCCCAAACCAAAACTGTTATTTTGAAGACTTATCTTAAGCTAGTTTAAATCACAAATTAGCAAAGGAGCACAATTATGCAAGTATGAATGTATTAAAGTAGAACATGTTTATAGGTATTTCTTTATACCAGTGTATAAATTAGATTCATTTTATAAATGTACAGCTCATTGTCCCTGGGGATATAAAGTAAGTGTGGGACCAGAGAGTTAGGACAGGGGTAAGGCACTTGACCTGCATGCAGCACACCCTGGTTCAAACCCCAGCCCCACATGTGGACCTCCAAACATCACCAGAGGTCAGTCGTGGGCACAGAACCAGGCGTAAGCCCTGATTACTGCCAATTACTGCCCAGCCGTTCCCTCCAAAGAAAACATTTTGACCCACATTATATAACCTTGAAAATAACTCTGAACTCTACTTTTCCTCATTTCTTAGTAAAGACATAACGACTAATTCCTCTGTTTATAAGTGAATTCCCATACCCTACTGGCCTCTTATTCCCTCGGTTTTGAAAGTTACCTCTTTCCTGTTTCTATTCTTTAGAACCCCTTTCCATCACATTAAATCCGTTCCTTCTTGAAAGCAAAGCAGGCTCTTAGTAAAACACACAACGAATTTATCAGCTGTCTTGAAGGGTCCGGGTGAGTGGTATTTGTGTAAACACACAAAAAAATAAAAAGGCCGGCAGTCAGGCCATTTCCCCACTCCACGGAGGTCGATGGCGATGGTCAGGCGAAGGAAGGAAACAGGGGCCAGGCTGGTTGGTCTTAGCAGCGGTTTATTACTTGGAAGAGATGTATGTCATGGAGGCCCCAGGATCTCTCAAACACGTGCACCTTTGTTCTCTCAGCTTCTGTCCTCAGCCCCATCTTCCCAGGTTCTCTGATGCACGTGTCCCCCCGAGAGAGCCCTGAAATCTCCCTTATATAGATCATAGTACCTCTAAAGGGTGCAATATAGTGATGTCATCAAAAGGAGTTACAGAA